CACCAATGATACAGTTTTTCATGGCTGATTCATTTTTTTTACTTTCTTTATGGTTTTTTTTATTTTTTTTTTATTTATTTATTTTTTTGGTAATCCCCACTTTTGTGTCTAAAAGAACAGTGCTTGTTGAAGGGATAACTGGTGCAAGTCATTTTCTTAGAAGACACGAAATAAATAAAAAAACATATAAATAAACTTGCAACATCTATAAGTAAGAAAAAAAGGAAATTTGTAAAGTTACATCTGGATGTTACATGAACAGAGTGATGCAGGTTCCTTTACAGTCAGATCTTGTGCCTCTGTATAAAGTGTTTTTCTTACTTTCTGGCTGAAATGAGTGAGAGAGGATTTTCTAACGTGGCTCACTCGCTCCTAGCCTATTAACATCCCTACAGATCGAGTCATTTGTTTCGCCTGTTCAGAATCGGCACTTAGCGGCTGCCTGAATCCTGTGGGGAGAATTAGCTGCTGAGACTCGTGTTTTCCCCACAACGCTGAAGGCACAAGGCTTCCTATCCGCCAGTTTCTCGTTAAAATGTTCTGTTCCACCTGAAGCACCTTAAGCAGAGCAGTGATAACCTGTAGCTGCTGTGCCATTTAAGGTGGAAAATTTGAATAAGGAGCTGGCTAACTTTAGCATTGTATTTTCATTTTCTCCTTGCTTTGGAAACATTCGGGTTGATTATAACCAAATTTGACAAAAATATACAAAATGACGAACTGACAGTATATTATGATTTCATTTGGAATTATACTACTCAATAGTCACAGTAATTACAAGGTGGGAACTAATCCCCAAAATGGTGCTTGGTTCCTTATTGCTCTGTACCAATGAATTGTCTCAAAAAACAGGTCTGCTGTGGGCCTCTTGTAGCTCACCATGAAAACATCTGCCTTTGACGATTAAGGTCGTGGGTTTGATTCCCTGTTACAGATGTTGGATGGTGCTGAAATTTGTTTATGCTGCTACTTTGTCCTAAACTGGTGCGTGGTTCCTTGTTGCTTCCTTTCAATAAATTGTTTCAAAAATTGCAGCTGTGCCACAGATGTCCTGTGGCTCACCATGAGAGCCTCCGCCTTTGAACTCTAGGGTCGTGGGTTCGAATCCCTGTCATGGATGTTAAACTGAGTTGCGTAGATTGTAGCAGATGTATCACCTAGTGGTCTTAATCATAAGAAAAGGAGATCTTTCTTAAAAATCTAAACATCTGCTGCATTCTACGACCAGAGGGCACTGCTTAAATCCTCAATGTCTTCCTGGTGCTTGAACCCTGCAGATTGCCGCTTGCGGCTATATTTGTTTTTTTCTTTAATTTGAGGCTTGTCCCATTTTGTAGGGGAAGATTTCAACCACTACCCCATGTAACTCAGTTCCAAGGGGTTAGGGTAACACTCGAAAACAGAGGTAGGGGTAAAAAGAAGGAATGGGATTGGGTCTAAGGTTTATTATTTAGTATGGACTACAAAGCAAACTGGCTGAGTTTAAGAAGTGTGTGGTAAAACTTTAGACCTGCTGGGGGGTCCTGGCCATACAAGGGGTTAAAGCCATGGACAGCATGTTTTTGGCCACTTGTCTTCCAACTTGATTGACAGTTGTAATAGATGTCAACTGTCAGTTCAAGCCTAAGGTGAAACATGGACAGGTTGAATTTAAGGGCATTTGCACCTGTATGTGGCAAATCATATAGGAATTTTATCCTGCTAATTTCAGGGGCCCATAAGTAATTGGACGATAGGCTGTTTAGTTGCTTTTTTGGCCAGCTGCCCCTCATTACTTCATGTTCATGAGAGCTAACAAAAGATCAAGAGTTGATTCACGTTTGAAGCTGTTGCTGTTGTCTGTGAATCTGAAGATCAAAGAAGTGTCAGTGTCTGTAAAGCCATATTGTCCACCATGAGACTGAAGAATCACAATAAAAACATTAACAAACATTAAGTGCTGGTTTCTTGGGCATTTGTCTTGGGCTAAATTGCACTTCCAATGGTGTTTCACCATTAAAACCTCTGTTTAGTCTTTAGGCTTAATCTGGGTCTGGAAAACAAACTGGCCATAGATGCCATTGTTCACTGTGTATGTTCACATCATACATTGTTAAAAAGCTAGAATGGCACTGGTTAGTTTTTCAGTAAGAAAAAAAAACTTTAAATCTCAGCCCAATTTACATTTAAAGCTGTCTCTGAAACAAATGTGCATTAATCTCCAGTCTGAAAAGACGTTTACTGCTTGTATCTCCTTAATGTTCAACTCTAATGAAATAATTGAGTCAGCCTATTGGGTAAGCCATTTGTCCACATTATTCTTTCTTCTCAAGGACAAATTGCTTCGTCTATTCTTCCTGTTAGCAAAAGATCCACCTTATGGCACCCGGTCTCTGTCTGCCAAAGCCGAGGAAGCTGATTTCCCTTTTCTTTTCTCACAGACCAAATCCAGTCGGCTGTAATTTTTGCCTCCTGTCTGAGGTTTTGGCTTGCTGGAGGGCAGTGCACAATTAAGAGTGTCTGGCCCGTAGAGGAGCCACTAAACAGCTGGCACTCTCTCAAAGCTTACATCATGCTGTTCTCTCCTCTTCCCTTGCTTTTGTTTGATTTCTTTATCCATTGGTTCAATTATTCATGTCCAATTTGGCTATTCTCTTTTTTTTTATCTTTGAAAGTGTTTTAGATGGTAGCTGCAACCATCAATTTACCAATTATTTAGCAGCCATATTGAATTAGTTTGCAGACTGGTTTGAGGGCATTGAGTCCAGCTGATGGTGAATTAATTCATTCATTCATTCATTTATTTATTTGTTTATTACACAGTTAGCTCCCATTGGTAATCAATGCCGGTTAGTTCTTATTGTGCTAAGCCTCTCATACCATGCAACACCATGTTCTGTCTACACTGGATCATATACTGTATTGGATATATTGCGTATAACTTCATAACTTGTACTTCCACTAACTGGCCACTTAATTAGGAATGCTTGCCTTGTACTTCCACTCACGGGCCACTGTATTGGAAACACCCACCTTTTACTCCCACTCACTGGCCACTTTATTAGAAACACCTATCGTGTACTCCCTCTCACTGGCCACTTTATTAGAAACACCTACCTTTTACTTCTACAAACTGGCCACTTTATTAGAAATGCGTACCTTGTTCTTCCACTTAATGGCCACTTTATTAGAAACACCTGTTGTGTACTTCCACTCACTGGCCACTTAATTAGAAAAGCCTACCTTATGTTTCCACTAACTGGCCGCTTTATTGGAAACACCCACCTTGTACTTCCACTAACTGGCCTCTTTATTAGAAACGCTTACCTTGTGCTTCCACTAACTGACCTTTTCTTTTTTGAAATACTGCCATGTACCACCAGTTACTGCCCACTTTGAGCTCCACCTACCTTATAGGTCCACTGTACAGGTGTACAATTATGATTGTAGCCCATCTATTGTTGCGCAGTTTATCAGCCCCCCTCTACCTCATTCATCATTGGTTGGTTTCTGACTACAGGACTGCTGTTGGCCAGATTTTACTGACACGGTAGGGTGTGTGGTGCTGAAATGAATGTATCAGACAATGTTGCTGGAGTTTTTACACACATCAGTGTCACTCAGGTGTAAAGTGGACCACCACCTAGAAATATCTAGCAATTCTGTATATCTAGCAGCTCTGTGGTCAAAAAATGACCATTGATGAAGAGCTAGAGGATGGCTAACACAAACAGTGCATCAACAGATGGGTTACGGGCTCTTAACTATACAGCAGCAAGGTGAAGCTACAAGGAAGAGGTTTCTTACAAAGTGGCCAGTGAGTGGATAAATGCAGAGGTAAAATAACTGCCATATAAACCCTGGAGGATTGATGGCTTTGATACCAGCGAGTTGTAAGGAAGACTTGGACAGAGTGTGTCCGAGGCCTTTGACCATTTGTGGCTGTTTGACAGGTCAAAACAGGAATAGAAAGTAGCTTCTCTGTTAAGAAACTAGCCATATTTTATTTGAAGTGTAAGGGGCATTTAATGTGATGATATAATAGTTATCATGACAAATTATGTTACAATATGCCTTTCTGGGCCGTCGGTACTTAAAGAGCACTCATCAGTTGGATGCTTTTGTAGGGGCTCCCAATCAGCATAGCGGTCTGACATTTTGCTATATTGTCAGGAATTTGGATGTAGTGATAAAAGACAAATCATAGCATGTTGAATGTGACTCGTAATGCTGTAGCATTGTATGTGTTTCAGCGTATCAGTCCCAGAAAAATGGTACAGAGTCTCTTATATGGTATGTACCTGTTTATGATCTAGAAATGAAAGTGACTCTACAGCAATTATTCTTATCCTGGTTTTATTGGGTCATTAACATTGACTTCAGAAAACTCTCTTTGTATTTTGTATCATCATTTTAGCCATATTACTTACCCAGGTTTTGGAGGTATGTCCTATTTACTTTCCTGCTTAAACATGTGACATTACATCGAAATGTGGTGTATGTTTGTACTGACCACCTCATTATTCCAAATAATTTTGAGGTAATTTACAATGTACTTCATCACATTAGTAGGTAAAAGCAGGGTAATTTAGCTAGACTGTCTTGGTACTTACCACCATGTTATCCCAAATAATAAGTAATAAATAATAAATAGTCGTTGGAGGTTGTAGCTCATAGTTACCTGGTTAATATCTAGAATATCTTGAACTGAGACTCTAAAAGAAGCATTAACGTAATTATTAGCATTGTTATATTTTGCCATACTGGCCTAAAAAGGATCTTACTCTGGAGTTATTGTGAAAGTTCTACCCAAGTCATCTGGTTGCTGAAAATCTGAGGACAGAGTTCAAGTCCCTGTTGAGATCGAAAGATATGTCACTTGTCAACAGTGGACATAAGTGTGTCCACTCTGGAGCATGAGCAGGTGCTGTAATTGGACGTCCGCCAGCATCAGAGCATGCCTCTCTCTTTGTCTCTCTCTCTTTCTCTCTCTCTCCTCACTGTCTTTCCTCTGTTCTCAGGTGAAAGTGTACAGCCTGGAGACTCGTCAGCCGGAGCTGAGTTTGGGTAACTCGCCGGGGGACTTCACCTGCATCAACCTGAGAGATGCTCCCCCACACCTGCTGGTGTGTGGGAACAAAGACAGGAGGTATTTTACACACTTACACACACACACACAAAAATAACACCTCTTACAGCGCACACACTCTTCTGTCATCTGTCTGACAGTTTAAAATCCTCTAGCGACTGCAAAATGTGTCTCAAACCAGGCGAGTTTAATAACTACTGACTGATCAGCTTCCGTCTCATTTTCATGTGCAGCTGGTGTTAGGTTTCCATTTGAAATACAGTCTAATATGTCTTATTATCCCCTCGGCTCATTAGGACAAGGTGGAATGTATTTGATGTGTTTCACACATTTTAGTTTGACATTGTGAGGTGCAGGCAGACTTTCTCAAGGGCACCTAATGGGTTTGATTTAATGGCTGTTTAATATGGAGCTGTTTTGAACCTTGGAAGGTATCAGAGAACATATGTAAAGTAGCTTTCCTTATGTAAGATGTAACAGAGTCTTCAGCTCAGGGATAAATAGCGAAGTTACAGCGAATCAGCGGAAGAAAACTATCTCTTGTGGAATTACATGAGTTAAAAACTGAAGTTCATGCTTGTGTTCTGCGTAAGCTGCATGACTGTAATCCAACTGAATATATCACCAATAGAGACAGGGTTGTTACATGTGTAATTAATGTGTAACTACACACTTATTAGAGATGTCAATATAAAGTGGTACCATTTTTCTTATGATAGATTATTGAAATATGCAAGATAATATTCAACAGCATATATGAAAATGAAAATAGAAAAATTTTGAAGGTTTTTTTACTCCTTAAGAATCATGAAATGTCTGTTTTTGGCTAACAACTCTCAAAAAAACCCAAAAAGGATTTGAAAGGCTACTTACTGCAGAAAAAATACTCTCCAGTGAAAAGGACAGGTGTTATTATCTGAGACCCGGTGGTATTGATTTAGCGGACAAAAGCTGCTCCTGGAGGAGCGAGGAGGGGCATCTGTCTTCCCATGTCGAAACACATCTGTAGCCTGTTTCTCTGAGTACGAGTTACTCTGCCAGATAAAGAGCCATTCACTCTCACTTGTGGATGACAGTGGGAGCACTATTTGGCAAGTGACGAAAAGCGCTGGCGGGTCTTTGTAGATAAACTCCTGCTGCGTTTTCTCGCAGGCACTAAGTGGACAGCCAAGAGTGAGGGCCTCATGTCGCAGGGCCCAGCTGTGGCCTCTTTTAAAACAGCCCAGTCCTTACGGCTCTCGCTCCATCCACCCATCTGCGACGGTGGGAGAGGAGCAGGCTCTTACCTTTTTGTCTGTCTCTGTGATGAAGTGGCTAAACAAAATGCTCTTTTTGAGTGCCAGAGACGGCTTGGCCTCGTCTGAACTGTCTGTGGGCGAAGTCCCAAACCCACCGAGCAGAAAGGAAGAAGCAGTGTCCATTAGAGTGGCCAAAGGCCAGGCCCTAATGCATCTCTTCCCCTCTCTCCAATTAATTCTGTTGAAAGAGTGAGAGAAAATGGCCTGGTAGGAGAATGAGTTGTACTCAGCCTAAAATCTGACCGAACTGGTCGTCTCCGTGTTGGATGAAGAGAAAAGCTGCTGTGTTTTAGAGAATCTTGCGGCGCAGAGACGGAGACAAAGGGGGGGAAATGGCTGTAGCTCAGTGCTTTATTCACATACATAATGCGCAATATGGATGAATGTCATTAGCAAACTCCTACACTGTGCACAAGTAGGACTGTCATCATTGATTATATTAGACTTTCATGATGACTCTATTAAAATGAATGACTCAATTAAAAATTGTCAAACATTCTCTGCAGATATCTTTATAAACAGGTGTTCTAATAAGTTTGACTGATAAATAGGGAATCTGCGAATCACTATAAAGCCACGTTATGTAGTCTGAATGTTCTCCGCAAGGGGGAGCTATTAGCATTCAAATAGCTTTTATGCGCTTTGCTAAAAGAGAGGAAACCCACACCAGCAGGATCTCACGAATTTGCATTCGTTTGTAGTTTTTATCTATATAGATCAAAAAATATGTCGCTGCTGTCAGAACAAAACCTTGTATCTCCAAAATGGTAACTTTATAGGAGAAGGAAAAAACATACTTTACTTTTAATGTAAGTCAGTGTAATCAGACTTTTTTTCCCAAGTCATTTTGGGGTGTATCTAATTGGTCCATTGACCAAGAAATTTACACACGATGTAAAGGGCAACAGGCATTTTCAAATTATGAAAAAACTGAAAAACGACAAAAATGGAGACACAAGGTTTTGTTCTGACAGCAGCGATATGTAAATAAATATTATATATATAATATAAATGCTGTTACAAATTGCATGTATATTATTAATGGATTTATCATCAAAATAATCACTTGATTACTCAATTAGTAATGATCAACAGTGAGAGTAATAATAATAATAATAATAATAATAATAATAATAACTTTATCTATCGAGCCATTTTCATGTAGCAGCTCAAACTGCTTTACAACAAAGTAGTGAGTTCAAAAATCAACGTAAAACACTCGATAAAAATGATAATGAAATAAAGTAAAATTAAAACAAAGAACATAAAATGAAAAGATAAGTAAAATTGGTTGTATTATAACTACTAATAAAAGCAACATTTTTAATGATACGTTTTCAGATATTTCTTAAGTGTGCACTGAGCTTGACTGCCTAATTATGCGAATGACTACCATAGTTTAAAAGCATAATAACAGAAAGAGTCTTCTCCATTTTTTCTGTAATTTACAGAAGGCCAGTATCTGCATATCTAAGATCACATGTTGGAACATAAACAGACAGATATTCAGTGAAGTGCTTTGAAGCCATTTTGAGCTTTAAAAACAAGTAAAATACCCTTAAAGGTTGCAGGTAGCCAATGCAGTTCTTTCAAAAAGGAGTGATATGAGCTCTCTTTTTTATTTTTATTAATATCTGAAATATCGGACAAGTTGGACAAGTTGTAGAGGATGCATTGTTTTTCTGGGAGATCCACTAAAAAGCAGTACAGTAATCAACTCTGACATGTAACAAGCGTTTTTCTTCAGTATAGAAAAGTGATATTAGTAGCAATATTTCTTATTTTAGTAGCAATATTTCTTAAATGATAGAATTCAGCATTGCACTGTTGTCGGAAGAAAACCTTGTATCGCCGAAATGATTAGTTTACAGGAGAAGGAAAAAAATACTTTACTTCTAATGTAAGTCATTGGAACCAGACTTTTTACCAAGTCATTTTGGGCTGTTTCTTTTGGTCCATTCTTCATGAAATTTAGACACAATGTAAAGGGCAACAGGCATTTTCAGTTGTCAGAAACTGAAAAACGAATAACAGAAGTGGAGATACAAAGTTTTCTTCCGACAGCAGCGATAAGTAACTTTATTTAACTAAGTAACTAAGGGATAAAACAGAGAGCACTTTCTGGTGAGAGTCTGAAAGAGGACCTGTTGGAAAATCATATTTTTGATTAATTGAAAGAAACGTGTTTCCCGACAGCCCACTGAAATCATCTCATGTTCCAACATGAGATTAATGACGGACGGAAACTGCCAGTAACTGTATTCCACCCCCTGAAAAGAGAGACAGACAGCGTCTCTGTGAAATTAAACACATAGTGTCCACACTTGTCCATGCAGTGTCTGGAATCTGCTACATTAAAACATACTTAGTTATGCATGTATAATTCAATATCTTTAAAGCTCACGTTAAGCGCTTTCCTGTCTGAGCGTAATTAGATTTCGGTGATTAAGTTGAGGAAAGCGACCACATGCAGTCATCTCTTGGCTGCCTTTGGTACCATTAAGGAACTGTGGCACAGATGGTTTCAAAATCCTTTGTGCCTTTTTTTGGCCACTGATTATGTTTCCTTTGGAGTGAAAGCCAATGTTTGATAATCACAAAGCCACACGTTGATGGCTCGAGAAATAACAGAGGAACTTATTTCGTTAGAAATGAATTCAACTGGCAATTAATTCAGAGGAACTGACATCTCATCCATCCACCCATCCAATCATCTATCTTTTTTTTTTATTCATTCATGCTTTCGTTTACTCTTTCTCAGGGTCAGGGTGTTTGACCTGCGCACCGGCACCTCTGTGGTTTCCCTCTATGCTCATCACTTGGGTGTGACCACAGTGCAGGCAGATGATTGGAAGATTGTGAGTGGTGGCGGCGAGGGATTGGTCAGCGTGTGGGAAATGAGGATGGGGGCAAAACTCTGGGAGATGCACAACAGGTAAAAGGAAAGATTTGCTAAGGAATAGCTTGGCCAGAATCAAATATACCCAAATTTTGCCTCAGATGTAGTTGATCAGACATGTTTGGTGTCCAAAGTTTTCATTGCTGCTATTAGCCTAATATAGCTAACAAGTGATGGAAGCTTATATGACACCTGTAGAGTTGGCCCAAACAGGTTTTGAATACTCATTATTATTTCCGAATTTTCAAGTACTCATATTCAAAGCGAACCATTATGATAATAAAGGGTGATTCAAAAAAGAATCATCAGAATTCAAAGCACCATATTTTTACAACCGTGAGGCGCCTAGGAACCAATCACATACCAATTGTAAGAGGGGTTCATAGAGTTTCTGACTGTCAGTGGAAGATGGTTCCCTTCAGTCTGTGAGGAGATGAGACCCCTGAGCAAAAAGCGTTCTGCGTTCTCTGCTTCAATAAGAGCGAATCCGTCATAACTGTGCAGCGTGATTTTCGTCGGAAGTGAACCTCCAACAGCTCAGAGCGTTCGGCGTTGGTTCCACAACACTGGATGATCTCCGAAATCGCATTGAAAGAGCTGTGAGTGCAGCGACACCCGACATGCTCAATCGAGCATGGGATAAATTTGACTATGGCGTTGATGTTGTCTGTACAGCTGGAAGAGGTTCATATTGAGCACTTGTGAAATTACATAATAAACTTTATGCTCATTTAAACCATTTACAGTTTACTGCATTGTTCTGTAATGATTTACAAGTGAAACAAATCATTTTGAAATTGGATGATTCTTTTTGAATCTCCCTGTATTTGTTTCATAATTAGCCATAAGTTTAAGTAGATTCGTCATTGCAGTTCCAAGTATATCCAGTAGGTGGTAGTCAGGCTGAAGCTCAGCCGCTCTCAACCGGTGCTATGATAGGATCTGTGATTGTAGCCCTCTTGTTCAAATACAGCTTTTAGGAGTTGCTTGAATCACTTGTACATCATTTATGAGTCACATATCTAGACTCTAAGGGTGTAACAAATTAGAATGATCATTTTTTGTATCACAATCACTGTTTTAGCTTTAGTAATTTATTTTTATTTATTTTATTGACTTATTTAGCTAGTTCGGCCTTTTTTTAAATCGTATAACGCAGCAATTAAGGCAGCAAGCAGGCTGAGTTGAGCTCAGTCGTAGCAGAGTTACACCACATACAGGCTCCAAAATATTCAAGAAATTGTCTGAAGATGTAGAAATACAGCTAATCTGGTACTATAACCTGTCATTACTTGTTAGAAGTGCTGCATGAAAAATCATATTTTTATTGTTATCTCAATATAAGTTTCCACGAAAAATACATCATTAAGAGCTGCAATGACAGAACACATCAAATTTCCTCATACACGCCGTGCCAGAGAAGCCTAATGAGTGCTTCACTGCGCTTGTCTTCCTTTGCACAGCTCTAAAGTTATCTACTCCATTCTGAAGTACAAGCCTGTAAAAACACATCAAACAATAGGATTGTTCTCACACTCAGTATTGCCTTTGAAGTGTGTTAGGCAGTAATGGTTCCTGTCAAGACAATCATATTTAATAACTAAACAAAAACAAATAAATGAATATAAAAATGAATATATATTTATTTATTTTTAGCCTTTATAGAAAAAGCTCTTAAGGTAATGCTGACTGTTCTCAGCCTTTTGGAGCACAAAAATATGCACGTCCAGTGTAAGTGGCTATTTCTTTTAGTGTTTCTTTTTATTTTGCACAAAAGTGAACGATACTTCTGTAATTTTGTGTTTTCCTTTTTGCTTAATGGAGAGGTTAGTTAGATTTCTGTTTATACGTCTGTAAATAAGTCTGTACTTGTATCATATTCAGTCAGAGACACATTATTTTAATAATAATTTTTTACTGTCATATTGTTGTCATCATATCCAGCAGCTTTATTGAACATCATGTTTTCTGTCCATATCATACAGCCCTACTTGTTAGCAACATTAGCCTTCCCTTAGTCTAACATTAGCTCTAGTGAAAAGCAAAATGGACATCAAACATGTCTTGGTTGTTCAGCTATATTTGGGAAAATGGGAAAACTGTGCAAATTTGATTGTTGTTTTAAGGTACAGTAAACCTGGGCTTGTAATCGTGGAGCTTCTCAGATTAGAAGTGCTGATCTAGGATCTGTTTCCACTAGTAAAGTCGTAGCATGTGAGTAATTCTGTGGAAACGTCTAGCGTTTACAGATATATTACACTTGAAACACATGTTAGAGTTACAATTTATTTATATTTTAAAATAAAACAATACGTTATTTTAACAATTACACCTTCTTGAGCCATCAGTTTAGCAATATTGTTTTTTAAATCAATTATATAGAATTCTAAGCACCACAGAAGAGCTCGTCCTCACAGTGTAAAGGGTGAGGCCATATTTTGAGGTAAAAAAGCATGTTTTTCTGCTATTTGAACTGCAATAATCTATACATGACTATAAAATATATATGAATTAAACAACAGAGAGAAAACAAATATCAAATAAATATTATAGAATATATGATGAAAGCTGTGATCCCCAGGAGTCGTGTCACTGGTATTACTGCGTAACAATAAATCCCTTATTTTGAAATAAAAAATCACACTGATGACATCACTTCCGATTACCGGTTATCTGAGGATCTATGAAGAAAAGCACGATAAGTCCACTGTGTCTTTCAATTATCAGAAATGTTCTCATTTAGCTCATGATTTCATATGAAGCTGTTAGTTAAAGTCAATGCTATGAACAACTTTATTCTGAGGTAATTGTGAAAAAAAATAGAATACAAATGGATTAAATCACATATTTTAGTGGATATTCCATGATTGACAACATGCGTTTGATGCTCTGTAGCAGCTGTTTTGTAAAATGCATTTTTCATTAAAAATGTCTCTGGTGTTCCCTTTCTTATGTGTAACACCAATGATGATCAGTAGTGCCAGTGACTCCTATAGATAGATAAAAAGTGGACGTTTCTATAGAATGACCCCTATAACAGAGCTGGCTGATCCTAGACCAGTGCTCCTACTCTGAGGAGCTTTGTGAATACAGACCCAGACCTAATATGCACACCTTCTTAACCATGACTGACATCAAGAAAAGAATCTGAGCAGCAGTTTGTTTTCCATTTCTCTTTAGGATACAGAGCAGTGTGCTAACTGTAGCTAAATGTAGCTAACTGAGGGCAATTAGCACTCTCTTTTGAGCTGGTGTGCGACATGCGTTGCAGGCAGGTTGGAAACGTCTGTTGCTCTCATGTGCTTCAGAGGAGGGCATGTTCGACCTTCAGGGGTTGGCATGGACTACAACTAGCATTAGGAGAATGTGGAGGGGTTTGACGTGGTGTGGTATGGTTGGGAAACACAGTAAGGTCAGCTGTTAGATAGCACTTGTTATCTTAGTGTAATGACGTCTAACCTGCATTCATAATGTATAACAGACATAACACACCGATCAGGCATAGCATTATGACCACCTCCTTGTTTCTATGCTCATTGTCCATTTTATCAGCTCTACTTACTATATAGGTGCACTTTGTAGTTCTACAGTTACAGACTGTAGTCCATCTGTTTCTCTGCATACTTTGTTAGCCCCCTTTTACCCTGTTCTTCAGTGGTCAGGACCCACATGGACCCTCACAGAGCAGGTACTTTTGGGTGGTGGATCATTCTCAGCACTGTAGTAACACTGACATGGTGGTGGTGTGTTAGTGTGTGTTGTGCTGGTCTGAGTGGATCAGACCCAGCAGTGCTGCTGGAGTTTTTAAACACTGTCCACTCACTGTCCACTCCACCCTGTAGATGTAAAGCCAGAGACGATAGCTCATCTTTTGCTGTACAGTATGAGCTAATCATCCTCTAGTCCTTTATCAGTGGTCACAGGATGCTGCCCACAGGAAGCTGTTGACTGGATATTTTTGGTTGGTGGACTATTCTCAGTCCAGCAGTGACACTGAGGTGTTTAAAAACTCCAGCAGCACTGCTGTGTCTGATCCACTCAGACCAGCGCAACACACACTAACACAGCACCACCACATCAGTGTTACTGCAGTGCTGAGAATGATCCACCACCCAAGTAGTACCTGCTCTGTGAGGGTCCATGGGGGTCCTGACCACTGAAGAACAGGGTAAAAGGGGGCTAACAGGGCTCCCGAGTGGCGCAACCGTCTAAGCGTTGGCCCTATCATCAGGAGATCGTGAGTTCGATCCCTGGTGATGCTGCAGCCATCCGTAGCCGGGAGTCCGAGAGAGCACAATTGGCCTCGCTCTCTCTGGGTGGGTGGGATGGCCCCTCCTTCTCCCCCATCACTCAGCGCGATGCTAGTCAGCGCAGGCGTCTGTTAGCTGACGTAACAGATCTGGCGGTTGGCGCTTTCCTCCGAGCACGTTCGGCTGTCCAGTGACGTTGCGTGAGCGGCAGTTCGAAAAGAAGCGGTGGTTGGCTTTACAGGTCTCGGAGGAAGCCTGTGTTAGCCTTCACCCTCCTAGCATTGATAGCATCGTGTGATTGGGGGAGTCCTAACTAGCGGGTGGAATTGGAGACGATTAAATTGGGGAGAAAATTAAAAGGGGGCTAACAAAGTATGCAGAGAAACAGATGGACTACAGTCTGTAACTGTAGAACTACAAAGTGCGCCTATATAGTAAGTGGAGCTGATAAAATGGACAATGAGCGAAGAAACAAGGAGGTGGTCATAATGTTGTGCCTGATTGGTGTAAAGCAGCCTTCGGCAATTGATCTTGACGTCTAGGCTTTTGAGTCTTTTAAAAGGTGAATTCCAAAGATTTTATTCTAAATGTCTCCACAATTCAATCATTCAGATGTAAACAAAGTCATTCAGGGTGGTTTGATGTGAAATCCTGCACTCTAGATAAACTTACAGAGTCAGGATTGTTCACAGTGGTGGTGACGGGAACCAGGTATTACAGAACATTCCTATCTTTTTGTCTTAACTTAAGATCTGACAGGTCAAGATAAGATTTTTTACAAATTTGTATTATAGAAGCAAATCTTATCTTAATTTAGGATCTCATCCTACAGCGTCTTATCTCAAGTTAGGAAATCTTAACCTGCTCGATGGAAGTCGACGATCAACTGTCATGTCTGTTTCATAGCAACCGACCATACATGCACAGCTGAAATGTAAACATGTAATTTGTACAGTTTATCACACTTTCCCAAACACTTTAGCTGACTGCGCTAATGTTACCACCATCACTGTAATATTTTATCTGATGAGTTTTGATCGACATTGTCGAGATCGTGTGTGCAGCTTCTGGGGTTTTTAAAAAGCTGTTTTAAGTCAAAGCACAGTTTTTACATTAGATAAATGTAACATCATTATGCTAGTAGTGAATTATGCTGCCTGTCAATGCGTAAAACAATAGAAACAGACAGTTTAAACAGAAGTTAAGACACCTCTGAGGTTTGTCTTAAAGTTTGGACAGAATTGAGGAAATTTAGTCCAGTTAGGATGTTTCTGTAAAACTGTTTTCTTATCTGGAGTTAGGATAAGATTATGAAATGAAGAACTGCTGTTCTGTAATAGCTTCTGTCCTAAATTAACCTGAAGTTGTCATGGTGACTAAGCAAATAAGCTAAGATTTCAGACGTAAGAAGTTTCTGTAATACGGCCCCAGATGTCAAATGCTTCTAGAGCCAGACAGTAAATGCCTCTTAAAACTCCCTCATAAAAAGCTGTTACATGAAATGGTTACAAAAGCCTTGTTTAACAGTAGTTTTGAGATAAGCTTTTAGCCTGAAATGTATTTTTTTTAATCCGTTCATAGTGGAGAGGTGCATGCAGGGTGTTTTTTTTTAGATTTACCACTATTTAATCATCATCAACATCACATATAAAAATGAGCAGACACGTGTAGATTCACTGGTCATTCTGGATAGTAAATAAAATGGCTATATTTGCATTATAGACTTTGCGACCCCTGGTTTCGATCACCACCACCACTGTAAAGAAAACTGAGTTTCTCTACAATGAACTGTTCCACATCAGACCACTCTGAATGGGTTTTATATATCAAGGATTGAATTATGCAGAAAATTTGAAAAATCCTCCTCGGCATCTGGTTTGGCTCATCTTTGGTTGATGCTTTTTATTTTTTGTTATTGTTTTAATCACTTATTTACTTCATTCTCATTTCTATTTTTAAAAAAAATATGACTTGATCATTCAACACATGCTAATTCTTGTCTTTGAATACGGGTGACTTGACTCGACAACCTCATTATCACATCTATGCAGAATATGTCTGGTATGTTTGTATGCAAATGAACTGGATCTGAACAGAAGCTTGAAAGCACTGTGTGATGTGGGGGTTGATGTGCCCCTCTCTGTGTGCAGGCACCCCGTCCGCCACATACGGTTTAACGCCAGCACCCTGGTGACAGCCAACATCCCTGACGAGAAGAACCCACGCGGCGCCTGCATCACAGACGACGACCTCACCGCACACCGCAGGTAGCTGAGAGAGGCTGATCTCAGTGCAATCCATCAACATATTCTCTCTGTCATATCAAAACCTTGTAACGTTCTTCAGTTTGAAAACGTCCACTGCGCTATACGTTCTTTGAGCATTTGATAATGAAGGGATCAATAGAAATGGTCCAGAATTGTGTGCAATAAAATGTCTTGACATTAATATTAAAATGTTAAGAACATTCTCCTAGAAAGTTGCTGTTTCTGAGATATGAGGTTTGGTTGTGACAGTGACGATATGCCACTTTCTTAGTTGCCCAGCACAACAGTCCTCAGCTACAGCGCTTGGAGGCTACAGCTCTCAGGTGTGGTGATCTTGTGTATGCACTGTCCTGAAAGCAGCATCTGAAGTCCAGTTCATTTTACCAAGCTGATTCTTTCAAACTGCCCATTTTACCTGATTCCATCTCATTTCGGGGAGAAGAGATGGGTAACAAAAGCAGTGTACAAAACCAGTGATGCACTAAAATTAAAATATCTGTCTGAAACTAGGATTTTTTTAAAGCTGTTTTGTTTGTGCTTTTGATTAAACATGTTTAACATAAAAATCTACAAGATAATAAAGAAAATGCGGTTTTATGATCTCACTTTATTTGGATAGTCCACTATAGTCCTCTATAGATTATCTACAGATGCTCAAACTGTTAACAAACTGTCTGTTGAAACTAGGATTTGGACCAGGGTGACGGTTGGGTTTAGGTTTTGGGTTAAGGTTAAGGTTAGGGTTAGGGTTAGGATTAGAGCCGCCAGGTTTAGATTTAAAGAAAATGGTCAGTTTAGTAGATATTTAGTTGAATATAACTTGAAAGTAAATTAAGTATCTACAAACATCTAAAGTGGACTATCCAAATAAACTGTTACCACTTTTATTATTAATACAGTCTGCTTTCAATAGCACACATTTGAGCTAACGGTAAATAAAAACAGTTTACATTCATCAGTCAGGCATAACATTATGACCACCTCCTTGTTTCTACACTCATCTGTTTCTCTGCATACTTTGTTAGCCCCCTTTTACGCTGTTCTTCAGTGGTCAGGACCCCCATGGACCCTCACAGAGCAGGTACTATTTGGGTGGTGGATCATTCTCAGCACTGCAGCAACAGTGATGTGGTGGTGGTGTGTTAGCGTGTGTTGCGCTGGTACGAGTGGATCAGACACAGCAGTGCTGCTGGAGTTTTTAAACACTGTGTCCACTCACTGTCCACTCTATTAGACACTCCTACCTTGTCAGTCCACCTTGTAGATGTAAAGCCAGAGACGATAGCTCATCTGCTGCTGCATAGTTTGTGTTGGTCATCCTCTAGTCCTTCATCGGTGGTCAGAGGACGCTGCCCACAGGATGCTGTTGGCTGGATATTTTTGGTTGGTGGACTATTCTCAGTCCAGCAGTGACACTGAAGTGTTTAAAAACTCCAGCAGCACTGCTGTGTCTGATCCACTCGTACCAGCGCAACACACGCTAACACACCACCACCACATCACTGTTGCTGCAGTGCTGAGAATGATCCACCACCCAAATAGTACCTGCTCTGTGAGGGTCCATGGGGGTCCTGATCACTGAAGAACAGGGTAAAAGGGGGCTAACAAAGTATGCAGAGAAACAGATGGACTACAGTCTGTAACTGTAGAACTACAAAGTGCACCTATATAGTAAGTGGAGCTGATAAAATGGACAATGAGTGTAGAAACAAGGAGGTGGTCATAATGTTATGCCTGATCGGTGTAAAATAAAATGACTAAAATTATTACAGTGTATAGGCTACATAATATGCCATGTAATTTAACATCTTCAACAACTGAGAGCTTGTCATTCTTCTCACTTTGGAACTGTTATTTTATTCTCATTTCAAAAACTGAGGCTTCAGATGTCTTTAGCGCATTTTCAGGGACTTTCCTTTCAGCATTTGTTGTTTAGCTGTATTCTGGATGTTGTGTGGTATCAAACCTGTAGTGGAGAAGTTCTTGATCATCATACCCTCTCTTGTTAACTCTAAGTCTTTTGTCTAACATCCCTCATAGAAGCTCTGAAGTAGTTCCCTGTGGCTTTACTCTGTAATTCACTGTACAACTGCAGCACATGAAAGAAGTGTCTAGTGTCTGAAGATGTCTAAAAGTCTGCTTAAAGTTAGAAGGTAAAATGTGATGCTAACACAACATTGCAAATCTGAACTTTCTGCATTCGATACGAACACGTAATACCGTGGCTAACACATACTCATTCAAAAAGTTGGAATGACTGGAATATTCCATGCTTTATTTTAGTTTCTTACAGCGGTCTGTTATCAGCCCGACCACCTTCAGCACGCACACGTGCAGTCTTTCTTCCTGAGACCACTGTAGCCCCGAAGCCACGGCAGTACCATACTCACCCGGCCAGTGGTTCATTTCTGTTTCTGTAGCAGAAAAATATTCTGCACATGCTAATAGCTGTAGATTAGCTGCATATTAACTGCGCTGCATATTTTCGTGTTTTCTCTGCTATAAAACTCTCATTTCAACTTGAAGGGTTTGTTAATTAGCTGATTATTTGGATCAGGTGTGTCAGAGCATGGAAAACACTGTAATATGCAGAACAGCGGGTACTCCAGACTCCAGGACCAGAACCGGAACCATCAAGCCTTTATCTGTAGATAGAGCTTTTGTTCCATAATATAATTGGACTAATATTTGAATAGAAATGCGTCAAATGAAGGATTTTGTTCAGATCAAATGCGGCACACCTGATCCCACAGGATATCTACCAGATGAGTCAAGCATGTTTCTACGGTCTTAGTGCAGAATCATCCAGATAGACGCAGACATTTTGTAATCCTCTCGAGGATTTCTATCATTTTTTTTCTGTATTTTTCTATATATTCTCATGTAAAGGTGTAAACAAAGTCAGTCAGAGTGGTTTGATGTGAAATTCTAAAGAAACATAGAGTCAGAGCTTACTGAGTTCACACTGGTGGTGATAGGAACCAGACGTCTGAAGTGTTTAACACATCTAAAATTCAAAATTATTAACAATACATACACAAACTCAGAAGACATGAGTAGGTTCACTGGTGGTTTCAGATAGTAAATATAACGGTTGTGTTTGTGTGCCTGGTTCACCACATCATTTCACAACAAACCAGTCTGAATGACTGTTTACATCTCAATGATTAAATGATTAAAAAATGTTGCAAATTTGGTGGAATTCCCCTTTAAACCTATGGATGTAACCATACACAAATTCTACAACACAGTATGTATTTTGGTTTTTGTGCCATAATATGATACATTTTTGATACAGCAGTAAAACTGACATGCCAACATTCCTATTGCTGCTAGTTTTTTGGTCCAATTGCCGAAACAAAACCGCAGCATCTGGTGAAAACATAACACAAACACGTAATAGCCTATTAATAACAAATCTAAATTTATATACATTTAAACAAAGTTTTTTGGTTGCAGTGCAGGGGAGTTTTATTTTCTGACAAATTATTTTCGGAATAATTGATGTCTATCACATTTCATACGAGTCTTTAAATCACAATGTGTATAAAAAACACTATATTAATATGCATACCACAGTACCCCTAGTTAAACCTGGCTGGTGATGTACTCTCATATTTAAATGCTCTCTTGCTGTTCTCTCTACAGACACCGGGGGGTGATCTGCTACTACGATTTCTCCATCGACTCCTCCACGCAGGACCACGTTCTGCCCATCTGCAGGTCCAACTACAGCGAGACGAGCGGCTACAACTACAACATCGGCCTCGCCGTGCCTTATGACACTCTCGCTGACCCTCAGAGCTCTGGGCTCTGACCCGTAATGCATCTGTTCAAGCACGCTGAGTCAGAGGCTGCAAGAGGAAACTTCTTTTTATGTTATCTTAAACAGAGGAAGCTGCTTTTGTTTATCCCAGTATAAGAGAAACTGCACAGTGAGTTTCAGGTATCAGCACAAGGACAACACATGAAAATACCTCTGCAGGCTTTTAGAGATATTTTAGTTGATTTTCTGTTGATTTATGTATTTTGCTTTTTACACTTAGTCTTCTGTATATATTTGTCTCTCTGGATATCAAGTCCTCATCTGTAAAAAGATTACGATTATGGTTAATTGTTAGCAAAATTTTATTAGTTGAAAATATAAATGTACATATTCAGTCAATATTACAATATTATTCTTCCACTGAAGTGTCAATTATGCTCAACCTTTTTTTTTTTAATGGAAAATCTACTAAACTAAAGCCCTTGATCTCCACATGGATAACAATTGTGTGTCCTATAGCTCCTGAGAAGTTGAGTGTTTGGAATCTATTGCCAAACAAAGTAAACTGACTCATTAACTTGGGTGGGGAACATTTCTGTAATAGCTTAGTTAAGGCTGGACAGAGTTCATCTACACAGAGTGTGATTATTAGCAGTGCATTTAGCATATTTAAAGGGGCCTTCCTTTGATTTTTCAGAATTTCAACATGATTTAACAGTTAGGGTGTAAACAAAGTCACTCAGTGACTCAGTGGTTTGTTGTGAAATGTTCCGTTCTAGAGAGTCAGAATTGCTCACAGTCATGGTGATAGGAACCAGACGTCAAAATGCTCAATGCCTTTAAAGTTACCTCACTGAAAATGGTTATAAGAAGCAGTTATGAGTGCGCAGCCCAAAGCCCGGGACATTGTTTTACTACAGTTTTGAGATGACAGCATAATCATGGATCCCTAACAAGTATTATAAGTAGTATATTAAAATAGATTTAAAATTAAAGGTTAAAAGGTTTTACTATTAGTGGTATTAAATTTATAGATAATGCATAAAGGTTGAAGAGAGTTATTGTGTATATTAAACTAATTGAAAACAATCCACCAACCAAAAATAGCCAGTGGACAGCAGTCTGAAAGACCATGCAAAGAATAGATAGAGCAGTTAATGGAGCCACATAGGGAAATTGCAAACAAAGCACTAGTGACAACAACATGTCATGCAGTGGTCTCAAATTATGTATCAGTGTCTGACTTTCAACGCTCTCACTCATCTAAGCCACTTATCCTCATGGGTCATGGGGGGTTGCTGGAGCCTATCCCTGATTTTCAACCAGTTCTGCTTTAATAAAAGAGAAACTAATATACAGAATATTTCAGTTTGTGTTGAGATCTCAAGGGCAGCAGCCCTGTGTAAGCTGGATGAGCTTTGGGCTGAATCTCTTATATTCTAGTTTAGTATTTTTTTAAGCCGGTAATGGCGGAGAGGTATATTCAGAGAGTTGTAAGACAAAATAGCCTAGAAAAATTTTTAATTATTAACTACTATGTTACCATTGTCAACATTATATATCAAACTCAGAAGACCGTGGACTGTAAGTAAAGTAACTATATTTGCCTTGTAAACATTACAAAGTCTGGTTTCGGTCACCACCACTGACCTCACTGTAAAGAAGTCTTTAGGTTTCTCTACAATGAACCTTTTCATATTAAACCACCCTGAATCAGATTGTTTACATCACAATGATTGAACGATGCATGAATTTTGAAAAATGGGTGGGATTCCCCCTTGACTACTAAAGCAGGGGTGCACGACTCCGGTCCTGGAGGTGGTTTACCGACTCAAACACACCCACAAAACCAGGTTAATCACCTTACTGTGCTGGATGCCGACCCTCCAGGACCAGAGTTGTGCACCCCTGTACTAATGAAAGAGCTAATGCATGCTAATGTTGCTAACAATGAATGTAAGTAGCCACCAGTTAGCCATTTTCATTCACTTTGGTTAGCAGCTTTAGCAGTATTGGCTGAGCCATTGCTCTGTATCAGGTCCTGTTTAGATAAATTGGAAGCAAACCATGATACTGTGTGTATATATATATATATATATACAGTCACATGCAAAAGTTTGAACATCCTCAGTCAAATGACATATTTTCTTAAATTTTCATAGTGAAAATAAGAAAACACATTCTTTACAGGGAACAAAATTTAATATTTTTCTGCAAATTTAACATATTGGACAAAGATAAAACATATATCAAATGTGCCGTAACTTTTGCACAGGCCACATCTTTTGTTTTTTTTTCCCCAATATGTTAAATGCAGCAACTATACAGTAACTGCATTCAAATTTGCAAGTGTGCAAAGGATGTGTACTTATACGTATGTATGTGTGTGTGTGTGTGTGTGTGTGTGTGTGTGTGTGTGTATGTATGTGTATGAATATAAATATATATCGCTGTTGTCGGAACAAAACCACATATCTCCAAAATGGTAACTTTACAGGAGAAGGAAAAAACATACTCTACGTTTAATGTAAGTCAATGGAACCAGACTTTTTTCCAAAGTCATTTTGGGTCATTTCTTTTGGTCCATTCATCATGAAATTTACATACATTGTAAAGAGCAACAGGCATTTTCAAATTATGATAAAAACTAAAAAACAACAAAAACTGAGATACAAGGTTTTGTTCTGACAACAGCTACATGTATACATACACATACACACACGGGAGTTCTTATTGGGTGTGCAGTGCTCATAGTATTTCACAAGAGGTAACTGGGCAGGGCATTAATGCACTGAAACTAGAATAATCAAGGCCTTGAATTAGCGTTAAAGGAATAGAGTAACATTTTTCAACCTAATCTTTATCTGTTATATCTGTATTATAAGGTCAGTTTTCTCCTATTATGTAGCACCTGCCCAATTGGCTTCTATTGTAAGTGTGTTGTTAGAAAACATGGTAAGTACAGGGAAATGTGTTGAAATGACTCTGTATTAACTGACCTTACAGTACAGATGCATGAGCTAAAGATCAGGCTGGAAAGTGCTGGAGTACACAGCAAAAATTGGTCTCCTGTCAAGTGAAATCGTCTTAAATCTAGTCAAATTATACTAAATATTTCTCATATAATTATTTCACTTGCTGTATTTTTTTCCAAGTGACATTGTCTCACTATATTGACAGATATTTTTGCTTGTTTCAAGCATATTTCTTAAAACAAGCATAAATACCTGTCAATATAGTGAGATAATTTGACTTGACAAAATGATTTAAAACAAGTAAGAATGTATAAAATATGTAATATAATATTACAATATTTCACAATCTCAAAATGAGAATTCTTACACATATATAAACATAGATTTGAGATGATTTCACTTTATATCTCCATATAATTGTGCTTTGTATTCCTTTAAATGGGCTGGGCTGCATGTCCTGTGGTTTACTCTCTTACTTCACACCAGCATGCGTCTCGCACGTATATCAGCCGCAACCCAGGAATGTGGAGTATATCCATAGAAACTTGCTCAGCTTGTTCAGACACGTCACATTGTTGAACAACACTGCGAGTCTGGAGATACTGTAGGAGGAACTGAGGGGGAAGAACTGGATTGTTTGGCAGCACAAAGAAAAAGCTTTGTGCTCTGAAGAGGAAACTTCACTTTCCACAGCTCATCGTCGTCGTGTCCACGTTCAGAAAGCGGATGTGCATCTTTGTCTCGATCTCGACACCTTTTAGGATCTGCAGGAGAGGCAGATGATGTGAATGGTTTAAAGGTAGATGTGTAGAATGTGTTAACGTGAAATGGTGAACAGAGAGAACTTCACAAACCTTCAGAAAGTGCTCAAAGGTGATTCCCTCATAAAACTCATCTGGAGCCTAAAGAAAGGAGGTTATGGATATTGTAGTAATCATAAAATCTTGATAGCATACATAACCAGCACACTTAAATGGGCCATATAGAAAAACTAATTTTATTCGCTTTTAAATGAGTTTGATGTAGTTCAGGGGTGCCCAGTCCTGGTCCTGGAGATCTACCACCCTGCGGAGTTTAGCTACAACCCTAGTCAATCACACCTGATCCATGTAATGAAGACCTTCAGGGATATCTGAATAATAAAGCCAGGTGTGTTGGATCTAAACTGTCCAGGGTGGTAGATCTCCAGGACCAGGACTCGGCACACCTGATGTAGTATGTAAACGTCATTAAAGTTCCTTAATGTACTGTTCACTTCAGGCAGTACAGTCCATATATGGGAACTAAACTGCCAAAGCCACCAATTTTAAACTCAGTGTTTTTGTGATGCCACAAAAACGTGTACATTTACATTATATTCACCTATACAGATTACAGCACTTTAGCCCCGCCCATTCATGCTGATGTTATAAGGAGTGTTTCAGCCTGGATTGCTTTCCGAAAGAGGCACATCGCATGGCAGCCAATTAGAACAGAGATCATTTACTTCCGGTTATATGCAAGAGAGCATCCTGACGTGTTGATTTTCTAAGTAAATATGAGAACACATCCTCTACAGAGACGCACTTCTGCACATTTTAGTGCACTCTTACTGTTTATTTGCTGAATTTAACATAAAATAATAACATACACAACATAAAATATGAATGTTGCCTGTGCAGAAGACAAAATAACACTTAATAAATAGAATAAATAGAAGTTGTGCACAATGTGTAGAAAAATGCAACATTTCCATTTGTTGTGAACTGTGAGTGGGTGGAAGAGAACATTTTATGACAGTGAATGTGGGCTAAACACATTCTAGAACAGTGTGAGTGGGGATAAGAACACTAGAACAGTGTGAACGGGGATAAGAACACTATGAATGAACACTGAATGGATGGAAGAGAAGCTTCTATGACTGTGAAATCAGGCTAAATATGTTCTAGAACAGTGTAAATGGTGGAGAGAGCACTAACAGTGAATGGGGCTAGATGCATCCTAGGGCAGTGCAAATGAGGAAAGAGAACATTCTAGAATAGTGTGAATGAGTGGAAGAGGGGTAAATATGTTCTAGAACTGTGTGATTGGGGAGAGAACATTCTAGAACAGTGTGAGTGGGTGTAAGAGAACATTCTGTAACAGTGTGATTGGGGGCTAAATGCATTGTAGAACTGTGCAAATGAGGAAAGAACATTCTAGAATGAGTGGAAGAGAGCATTCTAGAACAGCGTGAAAGGGGGTAAATATGTTCTAGAACAGTGTGAATGGTGGAAGATAATGTTAGAACAGTGTGAGTGGGTGTAAGAGAACATTCTGTAACATTGTGAACGGGGGCTAAATACATTCTAGAACTGCAAATGAGGAAAGGACATTCTAGAATAGTGTGAATGAGTGGCAGAGAACATTCTAGAACAGTGTGAAAGGGAGTAAATATGTTTTAGAACAGTGTGAATGTGGGCTAAATACGTTCTAGAACAGTGTAAAGGGGGAGAGAACATTCTAGAACAGTGTGAGGAGGTGGAAGAGAACATTCTGTAACAGCGTGACTGGGGGGCTAAATACATCCTGGAATCGTGCAAAGGGGGTAAATATGTTCTAGAACAGTGTGAATGATGGAAGAGAACATATTAGAACAGTATGAATGGGTCGTAAATAGGTACTAGAATAGAAATACGTCCTGTTCTCTGTAGAGGTTGTGTTAACTTATTTTCACGTATGACAGTAATAAACCATGTAAAAATAGATTATGACTGTTTTCAGTATATAAACACACAAACATCAGAACTGAACTGATTCAGAACTTGTGCCCTTTTCAGATGCATGTAGGGAAATATGTACTTTACCATTTGACCCATTGTAACGCTCGCCACTTCAAGCATAGCGGCATCTGCAATGGCCTTGGCTGTTTCGCTCTCTATCTCCGGATAGCTGGACAGCAGCTCTTCAACTACCTGCAGAACATCAAGACACAGCAGTGCAGGAACAGTGAAGTGACAGAGCTGTGAAGGGTCTATAGCACAGGTTCCAAACCCTGGTCCTGCAGTACCACAGCTCCAACTCACAAAGAGGTTGTTTAATGGGCTGATCAGCTGGATCAGGTGTGCTGGGAGCAGTAAAATGTGTGGTGTAGGAGGTACTTCAGGACCAGGGTTGGGAGCTACTGGTCTGTATGATAATGGTCAAACTTTTCTTACATGTCTGTATTCATCCAAAGTGATGGTGCCGTCATTGTCTTTGTCATGCATGTTGAACAGAACTGAAGAGAGGAGCGGATGGGTAAGATGGGTAAGAAGGTAAACAATGGGTAAGATAATGGTTTATTTGAGCCCATAATTCCACACTGTCCTCAAACACAGGCTTTGCTGGCCACCAATATGTAATGTCCAGTGTAAGGTAGGGTCATTAGGAAATAATGTGTTTGATTGTGGCCTCAAACCAATGGCATTCATAGGTTTAGACAAACTATACTTATACTGTTCCAGAATAAGATCTGGCAAGCTAAATGAACCAGTGTGAGAGGTGGAGAACAGTCTAGAACTGTGTGAACGGGGAGGGGGGGGGGCGTTCTATAACAATGTGAATCGAGGATGGAACATTCTAGAACAGTGTGAATGGTGGGATACTCCAGAACAGTATGAATGGGGTAAATATGTTCTAGAACAATGTGAATGGTGGAAGGGAATATTCCAGAACAGTGTAAATGAGGGAGAGAACATTCTAGAATAGTATGAGTGAGTGGAAGAGAATGTTCTAGAACAGTGTGAATGGGGGCTAAATACATTCTAGAACAGTGTAGGGAATTGAACATTCTAGAATATTGTAAATGAGGGGAGAGAACATTCTAGAATAGTGTAAATGGGGTAAATATGTTCTAAAACTGTGTAAATGGGGGGAGAGAACATTCTAGAATAGTGCAAATGGGTGGAGGACAACATTCTAGGACTGTGAATGGGGAGGAGAACATTCTAGAACAGTGTAAATGAGGGAGAGAACATTCTAGAACAGTGTGAATGGGGTAAATATGTTCTAGAACTGTGTAAATGGGGGAGAAATTTCTAGAAAAGTGCAAATGGGTAGAGGACAACATTCTAGGACAGTGTGAATGGGGAAGGGAACATTCTGGGAACTGTTTAAATTGAGGAGAGAACATTCTAGAACAGTGTAAATGAGGGGAGAGAACATTCTAGAACAGTGTAAATGGGGTAAATATGTTCTAGAACAGTGAATGGGTGGTAAATGTGTACTAGAACAGTGTAAACAGGGGAGAGAACATTGTAGAATAGTGTGAATGTGTGGAAGAGAACATCATATGACAGTGTGAATGGGCAGCTTGTTGATGGTGATTGTTTTGGTTTGGGTTCTCACAGCGTAGTTTCTCCTGCCTGATCTTGTCTTTCTCCTCCTCGGTCAGATGCTGTCCCGTTGGCCTGAAGTGTGACATCACGGTGAGGAACTCCTCGAAGCCAATCTCCTCCACACTGCCCACTTCATTATGTCCAAAGTTCCTGAAGCAGCACCAGCAAAAGCAGGTCAGTGCATGTGGGTAACAAAACATTCCCCGCGTTAAACGGCCCTTGTCAGATGTATTCAGAGCTTGTTCTGGATGTTTTATGATGCTTTAAACGAAATGAATTCACACAAAGTCATGCATAAATGCACCCCCACCCCACCCTCACCAACTCCTCGAGGAATGAAAACAGCTGAGCTCTGTGGGAAATTCAGTGCTGTTTTATTGCTCTCCTGAGCTTAAGAGTTTAAGTTTGATGTAGTCTCATCTGTCTGACCCTCTGGCCTTTGACTCCACTTCCCTTAAGCTTTGAAAGGCCCGTCTTTCTACATCACCAAATCTCTAACCAGACTTCATCAAAGACAATATATCATAACTTTTCTAATCTACATGAGAATGATGTCACTCTAGTGTAACTACAGACAGCTACAGTCCTCGTAATGTCTGTATTGGGCCCCTTATATCACTCCAATTTAAACCCATGACTCATTTGTAGATCCTTAAAACGTTCTCATAAAGAGAAACATCAGATATGCTGCCTACACTTACTAGAACATCAGTTTTTGAAGTGTGTGCTTAGCGAGGGAAGTAAAAATGTGTTTGGTGACATTTCTAAATGTAGCTACCTCTTATCAAAGAAGGCTTCAACAATCTGGCTTCTAATGGGGTTGAACGTCAAATCACTGATGTCCTCAAAGTCCTCTCTCCTGAAAATCAGAGAAAAATGTCAGTGCTTTCAAACAGCAACACTTAAAAATATAGATTCCTCAAATGATCTTGAATTTGTTGGCTCTGAAAAAACCTTTAAATTGATGTAGAACCTTCACACTGCATGGAGGTTCATTACGCTTTATAAAGGTCCTTCACACTCATAGAGCTCATTTTTGCTCTATCAATGTGTGCTGTGAGGTGGTTTGGAGCAAAATGTGGACCATCTGGGGGTCCCTGGGGACCAGTTTGAGAACCACTGCTTTAAAGAACCACACAGTGGCCCCAGAAAGTATTTAGAGATTTGTACCCTACTGAAACATGTATTAAGCTCATTGTGTAAGGAAATAAAATGTCAAACGATGTAAGTATCCTTTCAAACAACATCCGGTGTGTTTCGTTTCAGCTCATTTTTTTAGACCCATCAGTGAACACAAGCTCATCGACACCATTGTATGAAAAACAGCTCCAGACAATGAGGGTTCCACCTCTGTACTTTACAGCAGCTTTAGTGCAGTCTGGTTGGAATTCTTCTCCACACAGAGTCTACCATCAGTCTGATGTGGTGCTAGAACTGGTTTTCTCCAAAACAAGTATCATTTTGTTCAGCATTTCATGAACTATCCTAAAGAACGTCATTAAAGAACTTCATAAAGTTTTACCAGATGGTTAAATGGTTAAAGTGTCCAAATATTTTTTTGGGCCCCTGTACATAAAGTGGTTCTTCTATGGAATTACTCCAAAGAACCCTATTAACACCTTTATTCTTACAAGTGAAGACCATTTCTTTCAATAAATTCAACTCATTTGGACTCTCTGCCCAGCACATACAGCCAAAACCAACAAAATAACACTGAGCATTAGGACAATGAGAGCCAGGGAGTAAGAATAGGGAGTTATTTGACATCCACAGCTGAATGCTGCAGGTTCTCCTCTGCCAGCGGAGTGCAGATAGCAGTAAGGGAAAAACAAGAACAACCTGTCACGGTTCCCTTTACACATACCAAAGTGCCTTTGTTTGTAGCGCTGGGGTTTAGTGTGCGCGCAGTGGCGCGGTCATGTACACGCCCCCTATTCACTCTTAGATAAACTTGCCGTCAGAAAATAGGCTTATATTTGATCAGTCTGTTTGAATAAGTCTAGAATCTTAAGCCTTCCGCTTATTATGTTTTGGATTACAAATGAAAAAGCTATGTATACACACACATACACACACACACACACACACAATATGGACAAAAGTATTGGGACACCTACACATTACACCTACAGGAGCTTTTATGAAATCCCATTCTAAATCCACAGGACTAATATGGAGTTAGTCCCCCTTTGCAGCTGTAACTGTAACTCTTCTGGGAAGCTTCCTACAAGATTTTGGAGTGTCTGTGGGAATTTCTGCCCATTCATCCATGAAGAGCATTTGTGAGGTCAGACACTGATGTTGGATGAGAGGGTCTAGCTCAGAATCTCTGGTCTAGTTAATCCCAAAGGTGTTCGAAGGGGTTGAGGTCAGGGCTCTGTGTGGGCCAGTCGAGGTGTTTCACACTAAACTCACCCAGCCAAGTCTTATACACCTGTAGCAATGGGACTGAATAAAACACCTGAATTCAGTGATTGAGGTGTGTCCCAATACTTTTGTCCATATAGTATATGTGTGAGTGTATGTATATACCGTGTACTAGTCTTAATAGTGTAAGGTTTTGGCTTGTCAGTACACAAAATATTGCCACAGTGCACACTTCTGTATGAATATATGAATAGCTAGTAATTAATTTAGTTTGCTGCTGAAGGTCATATAACAGGGGTCACTAACAGGCGGACCGCGGTCCGAGTCCAGACCCAGACGCTGTCCTATGCGGGCCAGGACCTATAACCGATAAACTGTGGAGAATTATTTAATTTTGACAGGGTGGTCCTATATTAATCGCCGTAACATATCTAGTCAATACAGTACCGGTTTAGCTGCCCGGGAGACTCACAAACCAATCGCATGCGTTGTAAATATCACACGTGACGCTACTCAGCCAATCAGATCTGTGCATTACATGAGCACTGAGACTTGAGTGAGTGACGCACACGCAGGGGAGGGACAAGGAGAGAAACAGCAGTCGGAGAAGAAAGTGAGTCAGAGGGAGGTTATTACATGTCGTGCTCTAAAAAGAGAAAACTGACAATAAATATATATGACTGTATAAGATGTTGATATACCTACTAGGCTACTTCAGTAAACAGTATATGGCACTGAATCATAATGCAAGTTAGACGTTATGATGTTCCGGACCTTTGCTTGAGGAAATTTTCTCTAACTGGACCTTATTGAATTGTTTACCCTCAAATGGTAAAAAAGTAATTGTTTATTTTAAACATTTTGTTCTTTTTAGCTTTTCTGAGAGTGCTCAACTTAGCATCAACTTAGCCTGCCATGCATTAAAAAATGCCCTCCCCTCTTCCCACAGTGGGACAGTGTCCACCAACACTAAAACCATGCTTAAAAGCTGACTGATTTTACGACTGCATGTTGATTTTTTGAATGTACTCAGGTTTGTCTCTTGCGATAATACAAACTGCATATTTAAAACTCAGAGAGAGTTAGGGGCAGATCTACTAATGCTGTTTTGCACCATTGTAAACAATATTGTGGTGTTAAAAAGTGACTGTTTTCATTACTAAATCGACACAATGAGCTATTGGTGGGAGAAGGTTACAATGCGCTATTTAACATGCTGCTGTGCTAACAAGGCTCACAGACGCCCGTCCAACAAAAGCCTGTTTCTGTCAGTTGAAAAAAAAGTTGCATAGTGCTTTTTTTTTCTGACAGCTGTATGTCCACTTTTGGCTTATGTTTCACATCTGAACTGTCAAGAAGACATAGTGAATTATTTTTCTTGGTATTTTAATATTCTCAGAATAGTGACATGTTAATATAATTATGCTTTCTCAAAGAGTAATAATTCATTTCGGCTTACTAAGTCAAAATCTCAAGAAAATTAGCAATGATTTCAATAAATAATAAGTCAGCTGTTTCAACATTAGTCAAATATTTCAACATAATAAGTCAGATTGACTTTTTAAGCCAAAATATACATTGTAAAACATGATTTGCTGGTTTAACCTAAAAAATACTTCATGTGGAAACAAGTAAATTAACTAGTTTTATTCAACCTGAATGTATACTTTGAATGAACCATTCTTTCAATCAAACTATTTATTTAGGTCAATTTATTTCAGTTTACAGTGTAATATACTGAAAGAAAAGATGAAATTATTGAAATTATTAATCAAAATATTGCCATACTGCCAGAAAATGGAACAAACCGCTTTTTTTTTCTTCTACCTGGCAGAAACAGGCTTCCGTACAACAATCGTACGGCAATTGACAAACTGTGTTAGAACTAAATTTGAAGCTAAGTAGACAAGGGGGGCCACGCCCACCAGTGCAAAGCATAGACTATCAGTAATTAGTGCCTCTTTTAGTAAATCTGCCCTGTAGTATACAGTAGCCATAACAATTGGGACCTATTTTCAATAATTCATTTTCTGTTCTATTTGCGCGTCTTTGTACGTTGTTGCCTGTTGACTATCATGTTCTATGTTCCCGAAGCTGACTCATGATTGCTTGTCATACTTGGTAAACAGGTGTTCTGATTCTGTGACGTACCTTAAGGTGTCCTTGTCGTGGGTGAGGTGCTTAAACCTTTTATGTAGGATTCTGATCTGCTCCAGAGAAACTAGATAGAGAACAAAAAACACAGTTATTATATTAAATATGTGAGTTTAACATATTATAGAAAATGTGAGTTCTGGAGATTTATGGAGGAATTAGTTCAACTAAATCTGGATCTGCTTTTACTTTATTAATTTTCGTTACTCTAATATTTTTACAATGCCCATAACCCAGCGGTGATTTAGGAAAACAGACCAAACATATTCATGCGCTGATTAAGGATTATTCATATGACTGTGAACATATGATTATGGTCATGAGTGTGTGGACAGGAAAGACCTCTTGCTCAACACTTTTTCATTTTAATATGATGCCATATGGATTCATATCGAGAGAAACCGCTTCTCTTTTCGGAACGACCTCTTGCGATGAATCAGACACTAAATGGTTTACTTGGTGTTTTAGATCATCTCTGACTGCGGAGATATGAAATCTGCCATAAGCTACTATTACACGTAGCTCCACAGCCCTTAATGAAGGGCTCTGCTCTGCTGTGACTAGACGTTGACCTGCTTCAGCGATTCCTTCTTGGTGCTTTAAATAACAACAGTACAACCCTCAGATGTCCCAATTACCAGTTATTAGTGGGGATAAAAGAATTGTGTAATTCAGTATTAATTATTCTCACTCTTAGCTCACAAACAATCTGTTGACAGTGTGGTTTGTGAGCTTTTATTTGATACCCTATTTGTGTAGGCCTGTCATGATTATTCCATAATTTCCTAATTGCAAGTATCTGAGATGATTTAAGCTGACTGCAAACATTTTCCACAGTTGTTAGATTCCACAGTCATATTATGGTGCAACCAAGAAAATGTGAATAGTGTACAAATCAATGTAAATAAAGGAAAGCAGTAAATGCACTCATTGAGACATCATGAGGATTTTGAAAACAAATAAGTTCTATTCTAACTTGGTCCTCCAACAAGTCACCTTGGCGATCTAACTTGGGGGCAGCACAGAGCAATGCTTTGTTAGCAGTGCAGCCCAGTCTAACACCTTTAGCACGTATAGTAGCCAAATGTGTTTCATGCATATCGTCGCTGTCCAGTAAAAACCATGCATCTCCATTTTTGTTGATTTTTTGTTTTTCTACATCATTTCAACACACCAGCTGTCCTTTATGGTGTGTGAATTTTATGATGATTGGGCAAATTTAAAGGCCCCAATTGACTTAAAATAAAGCCCCTTTACAGTAACTTACATTAAAAGGTGGGAGTGTTTTTGCTTCTCCTGTAAACTTTCTATGTTGGAGATACTTATTTTTCTTTGGACAGCAACGATATATTTGTACTCCTGTGAAAAACAACGCCAGGCAAGGTAAGTTTATTTATGTAGCACCTTTTATGTACTGCTCTCATTCAAAGTGCTTTACAAATGAGAAAATAGAGTCGTTTAAAAAGTAGAGGAGAATAGAAACAATGATTAAAACATGATTAAAAGATGAGATTTAAAATAGAAAATCATTCAATTAAAACTCAAATTGGAAATTAAATTAGGATAAAAAGTGCCGTTACAGAGGAAAAGGGCTAGAAATGCGGACAGTGTTTAAACTGAGCTGAAATCTGCTCAAATAGGAGGGTTTTGAGCCTGGATTTAAGTGTCCAGTGTTGGGGCTCTTCTAATGCTCTCTGTCAACTGGTTCCATTTAAGACCAGCAACTCTACACATAATTCTGTGTAAGTGTAGTATTGATTTGCAAGTACAACCAGTGTTAGCTACTGAGTAAACATAGCTAGTGCTAAGGTGGCTAGTCATCCAATTTGGCCCCTTTAGGCTTGTGATTTAATGGTTGACAACAATGAACAAGAAAAGACAATTAAATCATTAATTGCAATTATTTAAACGACAATTAATCGTCAGCTACAATTTCAAAATTGCTGTGTTTCCATTGGGCTTAAATCCTTACTTCCCACCAAAACTCAACAATAAAATAAGAGTTTAACCCCTTAAAGTCCCAGGCTAATTATATACTAAGGCTTATTATTCAGTAACTACAGGGACTTCAATGCAAACTGGCTGAGCTACTCTTAGATCATAGAAGTTTGTAAAGAAACCTTGGGCCTTCTGGTGACCTCTGGCCAAATAAGGGGTTAAATACAACAAGCAGGATGATTCTATTCGATAACAATGAATTCAAAATGACAGATATCTTTTTGTTTAGTTCCTAGAAATGATTAGGCTATTACAAGCATAGATTTCCTGGTAAAAGAGTCAGTCAGTTGAGCATGATCCACTGATTAGTCAACGTACTGACCATGAGGTGACCTTCAATCACAACACATGAGAAGTAAGAACATCATAGTTAAAGAACTATAATACATTTAAGTCCTTTTATGCTGGAAGACCAGTTCTGCGTCTTTTCCAGTGGGAAGGCTGAGATTGAGGTGGAGCAGGTCCCACAGGACAAAAGGTCAGTTCCTATTTCACACTGTCGTATTTGTTTACTCTATCATTAAGTGCTAGGTACAGACCTGAAGACGCTGTGTCAGCACCAGCGCAGGGTTAACTGTGTCATACAGCACAGACAGACAACTGCTTTCTAACATAGACATGCACAAACACACATTTACAATCGCATTACAAACTGTGCTTATGACAGGACCACTCATTAACCCCCATTAACCACGAAGCCAACGCTGAGCTGAAAGAGCCACCACACAGTGGCATCATGCATGAGTGTGTGTGTAAGTGTGTGTGACTAAACGAGTAATAAATGTAGGCGGTCAGACTGAGGACAGGACGAAGTGATTCAAAAGCCACATCATTTTCATAACACATATAAACACATACTGAGGTCTGTAGAATCATCCTTGGTAGTATAATTTGTACAGAACAGTTTCTACATTTACTCCTGTCTTTCATAACATTTCTATTTTATTTTATTACTTTTAGTAAAATTGTATCAAACATTGGTGAAAAGTTTACAAATCGTTTGGTAATTCAAAAAGTTTACAGCTCACTTTTGGTGATTTTTAAAAAGATTCCTTTCATCGTTAAAAATTAGAGCTCTTTTTTGGACACATAAAAAACTTGCAGCTGCCTGATCAGTGCCTCACATATTAAGGCCTGTGTAATAATAGTAATATAATTTTCCCAAATATTCACTATTTTGGTAGGCTTTATTTATTTATTTATTTTGGTACTGTACTTTTGTTATTTTTGAGTTCTTACAAGTTTATTTTTGGTCATTTTAAAGTGTGTACAACTCTTTGGGTAATTTAAGGAGCTTATGAATCTCTTCATATCTCTAACTCTCTAGGTGATTGTTTTGGAATTCACAGCTCTCTAGGTCATTTTAACAAAGCTTAAAACTCTCAAGGTCATTTAAAAACGTTTACAACTCTCTGAATCATTTTAACAAGGTTTACAACTCTGTAGGTCACTTTACCAAAGTTTAAAACTTTAGATCATTTTTAAACATTTACAAATACCTGGATGATTTTAACAAAATTTACAACTCTAGGTCATTTAACAAAGTCTATAATTAAGTAATTATAGCAAAGTTTACAACTCTAGGTCATTTAAAAAAAGTCTATAACTAAGTAATTTTAACAAGGTTTACAACTCTAGGTCATTTAAAAAAAGTCTATAATTGAGTAATTATAACAAAGTTTACAACTCTAAGTCATTTTAACAAATTTTACAACTCTAAGTCATTTTAACAAAGTTTACAACTCTCTATATCTTGATAATAAAGTTTACAACTCTCTCATTATAACAAAGGTCATTCTAAAAAGACGTGACAATGCTGTAACTCTCTGGCCCATTTTAAAAAACATTTATAACTCTCTGAGTTGTTTTTAACGAGTTTCTAACTCTCTAAGTCGTTTAAACGTTCACAGCTCCCTGCAGGTTCACGTGAAAAATGTACAATCACTTTCAGTCATTTCAAAAACGTTCAAAAGAGGTTTGGCTTCAGTTTTCTATCCAGTGATTTCTATGTATTGATTTGACCAAAATCCAGCCAACGAAAGTGATGTAAAGTAGACAGTGGTGCGTTAGAGGCTCAGTTCCTCCACCTGAACAGAGTTTTCTTTGACCAGGTGAGAGCAGTGAGGTGGAGAGAGAAACAGTCCGGTCAGTTCCTTAACTCACACTAAAGCAGCCACGCTGGTTAAAATGAAACAGAGAAGCTGAAAAGAGAATAAAGAGAGGAGAGATAGAAAAGAGAGAGTCAGAGAAGCAGCGCTGCTACTCACAGCCGGTCCGGTCAGCGAGGAGCTGGAAATTGTGCTCCTCTGTTGTGGACTGCGAGCTGCCCATGATCGCTGAATGAGCGCGGACGGCGAAGTTCAGCTTGTTGTTGTTTTTTCCCACCCGTATTCCGACAAGCCCCGCCTACCTGCGTTTTGATTGGCCAGGAAAAACGGTTAGCTCCAGTTTGGTGATTTGATTGGACGGGAGGCGTTCTAACCGTTCTGCGCACGGATAGGCCAACACTTATCACACCGCTAGCTAATGTTAAAGGGGAACTTCAACATGTTTTCGAAATTTCTGAATAATTTAGTCCTCGGGATGTAAACAGAGTCATTCAGAATGGCTGATATAAGAGACTCAGATTTCTTATAGACTATAAGTAAATAGTTATAGACTATTTTGCCTTACAGTGCCCTACATGTGCCCCTCTGCCGCGGATGGGTTAAAATAAATGGATTAAAATACATTTTAAGCCAAATCTTGATCACAAAGCTATCATAAAACAATGTCTCAGACATCAGGCAGTGTTTTTGTAAGCATTTCATATAATAACTTTCTGTGAAGGAGCTTTTAGAGGCATTAAACTCTTCGGACGTCTGGTTCCTATCACCACCACTGTTAACATCTCTGACTCGAGAACGGGGAATTTCACATCAAACCACCCAGAATGACTTAGTTTAGACCTCAATCATTTAATTATGTTGATTTTTTTTTGAAAAATCAATGGAGTTTCCCTTTAAAAAAAATAAAATGAAATACAATGCAATATTCAATATATCGCTGTCGTTGGAAGAAAACCTCATATCTCCATTTTTGATGTTTTTCGGTTTTTGACATAATTTGAAAATACCTGTTACCCTTTACATTGTATGTAAATTTCATGATGAATGGACTAAAAGAAGTGACCCAAAATGGCTTGGAAAAAAGTCTGGTTCCATTGACTTACATTAAAAGTAAAGTATGTTTTTCCTTCTCCTGTAAAGTTACCATTTTCAGAGATACAAGGTTTTCTTCCAATAACAGTGATATTCTCCAATTACAGTAAATTCATTATAGAATGTATCCAATGCTGGCGGGATATTCCTACAGTAAAATACACGAGTGGTGAAAATGTAAGCAGTTATAGATCTGTTTAGAACCATGAGGTCTATATAGAACCATTTCATGCTTAAAGGGTTCTTTGCATGGCGAAATGGCTCTTCAGATTGATAGAGAATGTGTGGTTAATAGAGATTATATGGTTCTGTAGCTAAAAGAGTTCATTCATTGTTACAAGCTTGACATCATAACAATAGCAGAACCCTTTCTGGTCTTATATATTTTCAAAAAGGTTCCATATAGAACCATATACAACACATTCTCCATCAATCTGAAGAACAATTTCACCAGGCAAAGAATCATTTAAGCATGCAAATGGCTCTTTGAGTACTCATGGCTCTATATAAAGCCATTGTCTTTATGAAAGAACCCTTGTAAGAGTGTAATATATGTGGCCCCAACAAGTATTTGGACAGAGAAAAGAGAAGTTTTTCCTAAAGAAGAAAGAAAACAAAAATGGTTTACAAAGTGATATTTTTCAGAGAAAAACACAAAAAAATCAGACTGATGTTGGACTCTATGCAGAGGAAGCCTGGAGAAGAACTCAGACTGCACTAACACTGCTGTAAAGCACAGGTGGAAACCTCAACCTCTGGAGCTACTTTTCTTACAGTGGTGTCAGTGAGCTTGTGTCGACTGATGGATCCTGAACTCAGGAGTGTATTAAGGCATTCTGGATGCAAACCTGCAGAAATCTGCAAAGAAGCTGCTCAAACAATAACAATCTGAAACTGACACCCTTTGAAAGAATATATTTTTTTCAAAAATACAAAAATGTAGTTATGGAATGGCCTGTTAAAGATAAACACCACCTGGTTTGGCATTTTGTTTCCTAACACCGGGAACATAATGCATTTTTAAGCATGTCCAAATACATTTGGAGGCCACTGTATATTCAGATTATGTTGCTATAAACATTATTATCCAGCCAATACGATCACAGGAGGTGGAGCTTGCCAGAATATGATGAATAAACTTAATGGTAACAGGTTGAGTGAATGATGTGGATATAGCTCCTGCTCTTCTTGCCCTAAAGTTCAGTTAATACAATCATATGCAAAAGTTTAGGCTGATCAAATGACATTTTGTTGATTGAAAATAAGTTAACAGAGAACACACTTCGGCACATTTTAATGCACAATAACAGCTTATCGCTGAATTTATCATACCGGGGAAAAAATAAAACCTAAAAAGTGGCAGGTGGAAAAGATATGGCACATTTTATATTTCAGTCTTTTCCAGTATGGTAAACCTGAGAAAGAAACCGAAATAGAAACAGAAAAAGGCCCAATCCCATTTCACCCCTTGCCACTACCACTTAGCCCTTAGCACGTTTACGCCTAGAGGTAGGGTGTCCCGATTTTTGTTAAGATAGAGGGGTAGGGCGAAGTGTTAGGGCTACATGGCCCCAAACGGAGGTTACTCAGAGACACACTCCAAACAGAGTTATGAGAAAAAAGAAGCACCAGCAAGATGGCTGCACAAGTGATCAAAGAAACCCACAAATGTGAGAATTTTCTCTATTAAAAAATTATAATAACCATTGTATTATCTTAGTTTACTGTTGTTTCAATACATTATGGTCCTTTCCTTCATAAAAAAGGAAAAAATCGCAAATAGTATGCAAATGTCTCGGTAGCTAGCTAAATTTCCCGTTCCACCTTAAACAGTCTAGCAGTTCTGACACCTAAAGTGCCAGAATGTAACTGCTGTACCATTTAAGGTGGAACGGGAAAATCCAAACGGGAAGCAGGCGAATAGCTGACTTCAGCTTCATGTCACTGAAGAATTAGGGGTGGGCGATAATAGATAATTGTTGCATCCCCCCCTCTTTAAAAGCATATGATGCCCTAAATGTAACTAAAGCCCAGCAGTGAGGTTCCTAAACTTTACCCTCCTCTGCTATCACTGCAGACTGACAGGGTCGCCTACAGAGCACCAACAGTAGCCTGTTAATGAAGTGATGTTCTTCTTTGTTTGAGGGTCCCATTTCGTTGGGGGAGATTTCAACCACCACCCCTTTAACTCAGTTCTAAGGGGCAAGGTGACACTCAAAAACAAGGGATAGGGGTAAAAATGGGATTGGGCCTAAATTTGGCAGAAAAATGCCATGTTTAAGTTTGTTCACTATAGAGGATGTTTTAACTTAGAAAACCAACAAAATATAATTGACTAGGGGTGTTCAAACTTTTGCACACTGAATACTGCAGCGGGAAAATGCTTTGCTGTATGTAGAAGAAGTAGTTTTACGTAAAGTTCAATGACTTGAGACCACAAACGTTGAGCTTCTCTTTTTTTATTGAGACTCATTCTCTTGTCTCTGGTGTCTACAACCATTTTCAAGCATTCATCCTTGTGATCTTATCACATGACTACGTCCACAAGCCCTTGTTTACTAGTGTTTTACTTGTAAATATATTAGAAAAAAATTACTTAATGTGACAATTTATGACATAATATTAATATCCTCCCGTAAGTGCATGAAGATTGTGGTGGCGATTGAGGGAACGTACGCTCTCTCATATCATTAGATGTGCAGCAGTGCAGATTAAGAAATTAGATTGAGGGATGGGAGTCTTGGGATTTGCAGAGCACTGGTTAAAATTGTCCCATAGTACTGATCTAGGACCAGGGCCTGTATTTAAAAGAGAAATATATGGATTAGGACTGTCACTGTGGGATTAGACCCAATTCACCAGGCAAAAGTGTCGACCTGTAATCATTAAACTGTTTCACAAATGCATTGAAAGGTTATGAGCATTAAATGTTCATTACTGAAAGGCTCTTTGTAACAGTGAGGATAATCTTAAAGCTACAGAGCATAAGAAATTCACTCCAACTCTGACAGCCTTCACACACCCAGTTGGTCCTTTCTTGATGTCAATTCAAGCTTTAAATATCATCGTTTAAGGTCCAGTCAGGTCTTGATCTGTGATGCATTTTTCAGCTGAATGTCTGTTTGATGCATCGGTAATGTGCAGTTAATTACCATGTACAATAATTTCATCACATTTCTTTGTTCCTAGAAAAAAAAAAAGATCAGTCGACTTGAAAACCACTTATAACAGAGGCTATTGGGCAGTTGCTGAATATCAACAGTAAACTTATCTGCTAAATACATATTTTTGCAGAACACTTGCTACTTCTTCTAAGTATCAATAAATTAAGGTGTAAATCTACAGTACTGTTCATACGTCAGAGACCACCCTTCATTCATTTAAAGCCCATTAAGTACAAGTTGTTCCTATTTCAGGAGATATTTCTGAGCTCAGACGTAAGATAATCCACGAGCATAAGGAAGGAGAAAGTCAAAGGAAAATAAAAGAGAAACAACAGGAGTTTTTGACAGTTCTAACAAATTTGCAAGATCTGTTAGACCACCAACGCTGTCCCCATCAGATAAACAGTACTTAAAGCTTTCATCTTTGAGAGAGAGGAGAAAATCAAGCTCCACTCTTGCTTCAGATCTAAAGATCCCCAGCCGTCCTTCCACTGTGAGAAGACAACTCAGTGCTATGGGTCTGAAAGGATGTCTCACTGAGAAAAGGAGACAGACACATCAAGTAAAAAGAAGCTGCTGGTGTTCTCAGAACAATGGAGCGACCATGCCAGAAGCAGAAAATGCAACCAACGTCTAGGACTGAACTTTAGAGGTGTGTTCCTGTAAATGTCTTTGAAAAACTCCTGAAAAGAACTGAAGCTGTAAGGAAGGCAAAGCGTAGACACACTAAATACTGACAAATGTAGATGTATAGTGGTTGAGGTATCCGTTTTCCTCCTTTCTTGATGCTGGGAAATGAATAGCTAATACTGGCAATTAAATCACATACATGAAGGGTGGTCTCTGACTTCGGCACAGTACTGTATATAATTTGTTCTTTCAGAGATGAGACTAGTTTACTAGAGAGAAGAATTTGTGGCAATTTGTTACCAAGGCAATGATGTTGGCGAAGTTTTTACAGACTCCTGCATGCACTGAAGCCACTGGACCAGGAATGATTTTGTTGCTCCAATGTTTAAAGGTTTGAAAAGAACAGCTTTGGTAGAACATTCTTTATGTCTGTCTCATCCTAAGACCTGTACTGTAACAGAGTGTAATGGTTGTTGTTTTGCAGTTCACATTATGTACTCACATATTTTAAGTGCTCATTCACAGAATTCAGCAACTGGTTCCTATTATAAGTGAAGTGAGTGGGTTTTCTGTTCTTTTCTAAACTGAAATATGCATATAGATGCAGAAGGCTGAAAACCACTGCAATGTTCCTTTAAAAGTGAAGCTTCCCCATCAAAATCTAACGCTTCAGGTGTGTAAAACCTGTCTTATATGAATTCTGGCTTCAGATCAACAACACAGGACAACTTTTCCCAGAGTGACATGAGCAGCGGACTGGATCTGCCTAAAAGGGGAGTGGAGGGGGGGGGGTGTGAGGGGTGCATTTAGCATTGATGATGAAAGGGTGAGTGGCAGTTTGTGTTCTAAGGAGCCATGGAGGCATCGTGGCTGTGGTGGTCAGTGCCTGGCCCTGCAGGGTGCCCTGAGTTAGGGGTTTGCGTGTGGTAAAGCTCCTGTACGGCACGCTGGGTCTCCACCGTGTCTTCTGGGTAACGAGTCTGGAGCTCCTCATTGGCAATGTAGTGTGTATCAGCGAACTCAGTGAAGTATCGGCCCACCTCGGGGTGGGCAATTTCCAACGGAGCAGAGTGAGGCTCCAGATTTTCTACAGGACAGAACGGAAAGAGAGGTCAGGTTAGCATGTCACACTCGACACTCAACACAAATGTGTGAAAACCAGCTTGTACACTTTCGTTCTTTTTGTGATGCCATATAAGAACCACTTTTGATTCCTTCAAGCTGCATTATGTAAGATTTGGCAACACTTTACTTGTAGAGTGTCTACATAACACATTCATAACATCTTACATAAACGCTTCATAACATGTTAATGTTTAAATCAACGTTCAAGAAGCATACATGTTTTATATGATGTTAATACGGACTACTATGTCATTTTACTGGGAGACATTTTTCAAAATATTTTTTAAAATATTAGAATTATAATTTTTGAAAAACTATATTATTTTCAGAAGAATGCCTCATTTCTGGACAGCCAAAATAAAAATGACGTGACGTTACCTCTTTGGTCATTAAGTGCCTAGACACACCACAATACTAAAATTCAGATGAATGACTGTTCCTAAGCATATTTATGAGTTATTTACTGCCGATGTAGTAAAGTGACAGCCAACGCAACAAAAGCTGAAGAAAAACAGATAATAAGTAAAAAGAAAGTATAGGTGAAACATGCCTGAGTGTCCAGAAATGAGGTGTTTTACTGAAAAAATATATACTTTATCCAAAAAAATGACTTTTATTTTGAAAAATGTATCTCAAAGTGACATAGTAGTCTATATTAATATCATGTAAAATATTTACTTTATGTTGATTCACACATTTATTAACATATTATGAAGTGCGTAGGTACAATGTTATTAATGTGTTATGTAGAAACCCTTCAAATAAAGTGTTACCTAAGATTTTTTTGTCAAAATATACGGTGTGCATATGCTGCTGCAAGTCGTCCTCTTAAGCCTGAAATAGTAATTCAAAAGTCAGAGGCATCGGATCGGATTTCACTTGGGTTTTTCTGACCATGTCATATGTCTTTACATATTACCGCCACATTTACAGGCTCAAAAAATGTAAAGCCCCAGCTCAATGTTTTGGTCTCAAATGCTAAAATCATCATTATTAATAAACTGACTGGCCAATTCATTAAAATCCCCTCCTTGTTTCTACACTCATTGTCACCTCCACTTACTATATAGGTGCACTTTGTAGTTTACAATTACAGACTGTAGTCCATCTGTTTCTCTGTATACTTTGTTAGCCCCCTTTTACCCTGTTCTTAGCCTTGTAGTTACGGAGGTTTTTGTTAAGCTATTTCTTTTCTAAAATCTGATTGGCTGAGTCATGTTCGAAGCTGTAAAATACACAATATACTCATGACTGCACACATCAATTCTGTATTAACTTCCCAGGATGAAGTAATCAAGAAATTATCACTGACTGTTACGTTGCTTGGCAACCACTGTTACTGCCAAGGAGCACTGATTGATATCAGTGCATTAAAAAGCAAATACAGCCTGAATATACTGCGACTTTGACTAACAGAAAGTTAGAAATGTCCCTTGTGCTCTTACAGCCCACACAGTGTAAGCTTAAATGTAAGCCTATGGTCAATCGTTCAGTAAGGAGATCTGAGTCTGCCATGAAAATTCATGATCAGTGCACCTCTAAGTAATATTAGGCATAAGATGCAGCACCCAGGCAGAGAGCTCAAATCACAAAGATGTGTGTATTACACAGTCTGTGTCTGAGACTTGCTGTGTTACAGAGCCACCACAAAGAGTGTGTTGTTAATTACCATCATTTTTAAGAGAAGCCAGAACAGTGGTTCTCAAGTGGTCTTCCCTCAGGAGCCACATCAGTTCTTTATCATTAAGCTGTGACCCAAAAGCAATGTTTTGTTTCTAAATGGTGCTTAAGCTTAGAAGGCTTTGTTCTTTCATTTAGCTAAAAGACTGCCACACAAAACACACAGAAAAAATGCATTTAATTTAAATACTGTCCTCTTTTCATTTCGAGGTTATGATGAGAAAAGCTAACTGCTGTGCAGGTCTAGTTGTGTTTTAATTAGGCTAATTTAATGTTCAGTGTAGGCCTACGAGTTAAAGTTTGATATTATGCTACAGGTAAGGTTTAATAATATGGTAAATCTATAATTACAATCCTTGAGGACATTTTGACGATTCACAATATTTATATCACATGGATCCTTTGCTGTGATAAAAAGGAATTCCATAAAATTTCCAAATTACAGCATAATTAAACTGTGGAGATGTAAACAAAGTAGTCTAGAGTGGTTTAATGTAAAATTGTTCACTTTGACTGTAATGACTCTAATGACTGTAATTATGCTGTAATTACTGCCTCAGATTTCTTTACAGTGGTGGGTTGTGATGTCTACAACACAACTATAACCATTTTATTTACTATCTAAAATAACAGGTCAACCTAGATGTGTCTGAGTTTTATATGTAATATTGATGATGATAAACTGTTAGAGGCTAATCAGAAGGAAAACAAAGTTTTCTATGGGGACTATTTTGCCTTGGAATGCCCTGCATCTACACCCCCACCAGGAATGGATTAAAAAAATATGTTTTAGGCCTAAACTTTATATCAGTACTATCCTAAAACAATGTCTCAGACATCAGCCAGCTATTTCATGTAATAACCTTCTGTGAGGTCCTTTTTAGCAGCATTAAACTCTTCAGTTTGGTTTGTTTGGTTCCTATCACCACCACCTGGGACAATTCTGACTTGCTCTTTTTTCTCTAGAACAGAGCATTCCACGTCAGCTGAATCTTAACCATTTAGTTATGCAAAATTTTGGAATATTTGGTGGAATTCCCCTTAACAGTTAAGGTTAGCACATGCCTCCTCCTCCTCGTGCATACGAAAAGTGAAAAGAGGAGAATGCTTGATGCTTAGAGAGTCCCATCTGAAGCTTCTGCCTACCCTGCGCAGCATATCGGCAGGTGCCGTCCTGCACCAGGACGTTGTAGAATGGCTGATTGGCACCGTTGGAGAGCTGATGGACTCTCATGGTAGTGATCCACTCCTGACTCATCGTGCATTTGGGATCCCATCCGTAAATAACACAGTTATAACCTGACCTGCAGAGGGGAAGAGAAAATACTCATCAGACTTTTTAGGAGGGAACATCATCATGTAATAATGGAAGCTCAGACTTGTTTATGTGGTTTCTGACACTGTATGACACACTGTTTTTAAAGAAATGAACACTGCATGGCTAAAAACAGTGTCAGCAGCCATCTTAGGCCTGAATTCTGTCATTTTTTCTGGATACCAGTATGTCATACAGTGTCAGATACCTAACTACACAAGCAAGCAGGGGTGTGCGATATGGCAAAAAAGACAATATTGTGATACTTCAAGAAATCTTTACTATACACAATTTCTGTATCTGATTTTTTAATCATCTGATCAGATGGAACTGAGAAAAAAAACAGTAGTGTTACATTTTAAAAAATACTATTAAAATATTTTTATTCAGAATTTAGCATACTGTCATACATACAGTTGGTCAGTATTCTACAAGTACACCATGTCTTGTCTGACCGACTACATTTAAGTTATGGGGAAAATGTGTAAATTAGATTTTTTCTAAACTACTGCCTTAATGCTCCGAATTCTAGCTGAAATTTGACAAAATCAGTTAATACTACTTAACTATGTTTGTATTATATGTCATAAACTGTTATGCTTCACATCTAACATTTATTTAACCCCATTTAACTCTTTTAAATCTGTTGCAAGAGGAGTAGCATTTGCATGTCCATGTTCATATTGAAACTGATCAGCCTGTGAAACTGGAGTTTGTTGTGAGCTACTAGTTCTCTATCACTGTATAAAAGAAGCTCAGTGCTGCCTTTATTGTTGGATGTGGCAGAGTGAGCATGTGAGCTCATTCAGAGTGCAGTTTTAATCTGTAACTGCTTCTTATCAGGGACAAGTGAAAGTGTTTTAAAGGGCCCACATACTACATTTTTTCTTTTAATTAAAATTTATAACATTATAACGTTTGTGTGGTTTCATGTACCAAATCACTTTATCGCTTAAAACCGTTCAATAGACTGTTTTTGTTTTGGTTCTGTTCTGATTGGGTGCCCTGTATTGTGCTTCATTCAAAAAGGACTCAGGGCTGAAACACCCCTTAGAACTTGAATATAGGTGGGGCTAAACTGCCGTCAGCTGGATGGGTAGACGTATATAAATTGGTGCTTGTGATATCACAGAAATAATGTCAATTCAATTCAGTTTTTGCAGCTTACTTTCCATATATGAGTTGTATGGACTGGGTAGCAAATGGCAAGTTTTAAAAATTTGACAATGTTTACAAATTACTTAAAACTTTTCTTTATTTAAAAAAATGTGAGAGAAAGTTGGTTTTCCATGATTTGGGCCCTTTTAGTTAAAGGTGCTGAAAAGTTAAGCAGTATGAATGTGGCAAATACAATGATCTCATACAAAATGATGTGCATTAGACTAAGTGGATAATTTACTTCACATAGGACGTGTCATATCATGCTGTAATGTGGCGAGAGACAACAATATACACAAATTAAACAATGCTCACGCCGCCCTCTCTCGTTCTGGATTTAAAAAGCTGATTCATTAGAGTGAGCTGAGTGGGAACCAACTCTGCTCGCTCTAAGCAAAATGCAGCAAGAACTTAAACAGAGCATGGCTACGGCAGAGTTTGGAAAATACAGAAATAAAACATCAAATAAAAATACAAATTCCACCCTATAACACACATTTTTCTAAAGTGCTGTTCGGTCGTTAGATCATGTTCCTAACCCATCAAATAAATGCAATAGACTGAGAAATCACGTTACTAAAGCAGAACAGATTAAATGGCAAAAATAGCCGCTTTGTGTTGGCCTTACAGTGACGATCCTTAGTTAAAGTTATGCTAATAAAGTCAATTCAGATGAATGTGGAATCTCATTACTTCTGCACTACTGTACAATTTGTATTGTAACTACAGAATACTGCACACTGAGTTCTGCTACTGTGATACTGTGAACAGCCAATATTTTAAGCATTTATTATATCTTTTTTATTCTGTTATATATTCTGTTATTTTGTACATTTCTGTATGTGTATAATCACTAAACTTGAATTTTATTAAAATAAGTTGAATATAGTGGAGAATCCCCTTAATCCCCTCTATGAAAAACAATGTCAGCAGCTCAGTCCTTTGGGTAAAAATAGGTTTAAAACGGACCCCTGCTGTGTTCTGAGGCGCTGCGCCTTTTCACCTCCGGCTCTATGGGGTGAATTCTGGCTGCACATGTATCTTTGCATGTCTGAACAGTGCTTTGACTCAGAACGCTCTCAGGAGGCATATTCAAATGATAACTAACTGGAACTGTTTTTCTCACAGTCTGGAACATGAAGTATCTAATGACAGTTATATGGTAATTCCATTGATTATCACTCTTATACAAACAAACAAACACATACCTTTTGTGTTTCATAACGAGGCCTACAGAGTACTGCACTTGGCTGTGTTCGGGGGCGCTGCGCCGCTTCACCTCCGGTTCTATGGGGTGTCTTTTATGCTGGATGTGCTCCAGAGTGTGCTGCACCAGATAGCCAACAGCTCCGTGCTGAGAGGGATCCAATGCCTGAATATGCTGCAGAATATCCAGCACCTAACAGATAGATAGATAGATAGATAGACAGAGGGAGAATTGTGTTTTCTGAAACATGTTGCTGGCATCAAACTCAAAAAAGCTCACTACTTGGCTAGCAACAGATCACAGTTGCCCTTTTTTTATTTATGTATTGCCGCTTAATTAAATTACTAAGTAATTAGGTAAGAAATAATTAATTATTTAAAACCTAATCATTATTAGTAAACTTATTTTAAGCCATTCATAAACACTTTATAAGTGTAGTCTTATTGTAAAGTGGTAGCTTAAAATGTACTGCTTAGTAACTATGAATTCTTCAATAACTACTATGTAACTAATATGTTATAACTAATAAGTTATGTAGTTATGATCATGACTTCAACTGTGAAGTCATTTACAATGTATTTGAAGCATAGAGCATTAATTTACACACTTTTCTGTGCAATTTATTTTGGTACAAAAAGCATCATCAATCTTTCACTGTAACTGTGTAAGAACTGCAGTATTTCAAATAAGACTATTTTTAATCTGCTATATTGTTATACAAAGCTTTTTCTCACAAGAAAGCCACTTTTGGCTATACCAGTGAGGACAGTACTAACCTTCTCAGGCCAGATGCCCAAGTGGAAGTAAAGTCGAGCCTGGAGCAGCAGATACTGGACGTTATCAGGGTCAATGGTGAGGTAGAGATCCAGAGAGTCCCTCAGCAACTGATATGACTTCTCATTGCCTTCACTGTATAAAACAAACATTCAAACCGAGTCAGTACCAGATGCTTTCACAGCCTGATTAACTGAAAAACAGCCTCGTTGGCTGAAGCCTTCCACAAAGTCAGTGAAACAAAGCTACACAATAAGGGTGTTAAAGTTGGTTCTATGGTGGAAAAAATGTAGAAAAGTATGTAGCGTAGCTAAAAACAGTATTAGCAGTGATCTTGCAGCCTGAATTTTAAACTCAGACACCAAACATGTCTTGGCTGATCAATAAAGTTTGAATTAAATAGTAAAATTCTCTGTAGAGTAATTCATATTAGATTTAGGGTTAAACAGATTAGTGTAATCAGGTTTTCCAAAGCAGGGAAAACATGCAACTCTTCAGCGCTGTATCTGCCTTAGTTCAATGCCTCTAAAAGGTCTCTCACAGAGAGCTATTACATGAAATGGTTATGAATATGGGGCCTGATGCCTGAGACACTGTTTTATGATAGTTTTAAGATAGAATGTTGGTATAAAATATGTTTTATATGTTATTTATAAGAAAGAAAACACATGAAGGGGTACGGGGGAATGCACCCGGAAGTTGCAAATGGAGGTTAAACATTGCGACGGCTGTCCGGCGCCTACCTATATATATATATATATATATATATATATATATATATATATATATATATATATATATATATATATATATAGGTAGGCGCCGGACAGCCGTCGCTATATATATATATATATATATATATATATATATATATATATATATATATATATATATATATATATACACACACACACACTCACACACACACACACACACATATACATAGGTAGGCGCCGGACAGCCTCCATTTGCAACTCCTGGGTGCAAAGCCCCGTACCCCTTCATGTGTCTGGCAAAAACCAGAGACCGCTTCCAGCTTCCATGTAATGCAATCAATTACACAGATGTCAAGGTATGTAACGTATTTTTTAGTTCAGATTGCTTCATCCTAATGGGAGTTACAACAGAATATTCAGGGCCTCTTTCGAGTACATCACCCTGTGTGTGTGTGTATGTATGTGTATATATACATATATATACACATATATATATATATATATATATATATATATATATATATATATATATATAATTTTGGATAGTACTTAAAATGGCAAAATTTGCATTGTAGACATCTGGTTCCCATCACCACCACTGTGAAGAAATGGGAGCTGCTTTCTCTACAATGCACCATTTCACATCAAACCACTCTGAATCACTTTGTTTAAATGACTGAATTAAGAAAAAATGGTGGAATTCCCCTTTAACATCTGAAATGTTGAAATAACATCTACAGTATGACTTCACACAACAGTTCCTCCAGGGATTCTTGTGCAACTATGGATTAAAGAGTAGATAATAGAAATGTACATGTTTACTTGACACAAACAGATTCCAATGCAACAATATTATATGTGTAGTGCTATTGATTGCTGATTATTTCTGTATACATCCAGTAACAGTGACCTATGTGTGTCTGTGATAGATAGAGAGTGAGAGACACTCACCCTCTCTTGCCGATGTTGAGCAGGTTGCCCACCATCCTCAGCAGCAGCTCGGTGGTGCTGATGGAGCTGTAATAGTCTGCTGTCACCTGCTGACGGATCAGGTACTCACACTCTTTAGCAGTCAGCTGCTTCCCCTTCCCAAACGCATCGATGTAAACGTAGTCGTAGATATCGTCACTACTGCACAGCATATATGAGAGCAAAGAATGTTTATGTATGTATATATGTATGTCTGCATACATTCGACCATTCATTGTTGTTATAATTTTTTTTTTTGTAATATTTTTCATTCTCAAGAATATGATATATGTCATTCTATAATCATTTTATCAAAAAAAATACAACAATTTGCTTTAAGTACAAGAGCAGTGTTTCCGCTATAGACATTTTGCAGGGGCGGCCCGCTTGTGTGAACAGAGTTGAACTGCAACCACCAATGCTATAAAAAAACATCCTAGAGGAAATGGGAAATGCTGCAAGAGAGCCATAGCTTTGATCAACAAACAAATTTAACCCTTTTTCACAGTAGCCATAAAATGTAATTTTAGTGTATTTTGGAGGTCCCTCAGTTCAGCCTTGAATTTTAATACCTGTAGAAAATTCACGTATTTTAAATAGATTTTGAATTAAACTATTTTATTTGATTATATTAATGAAAATGTCTGATGAGTCGATTTCCTTTCTGCAGGTAGAATGGCCAGCCTGCAGACTTTCCTTCAATGTGTTTGTTCATTAGCGCTGCAGTGTACACTCTAATTACGTCACAGCTGGTATCGGAATGGTATCTGTGAATTTTTATGAGTACAAGTATGAGTAAGTGAGCACAGTATCGGCATCGATGCATCTTTTCAAACTTTAAGTTGAGGTGAAGTTGATTTTGGCCCAAAAGCATCACTTTAATAGTAATCTGTACTGGTGACATTGCTATCAGAAGGTATAAGCCTACAATAACAATGTCATAAATAGATAATAAATAAAAAATACTAGGTCTAAATAACAACCTGGCCTGGCGCTGGCACCAACGTAACAGGAAATGGTTGGGGAAGTTGACCGGCTCCAGGAGGACGCCCATCTTCCTGGCCAGCGTCATATACAACACAGAGAGGCTGATGGGAATGCCCGTCCGCCGCAGTAGCACCTAACCAGAAGGCGGCAATAGAAGATTTCAATACCGTTAGAATACAGGCACAAACATAAAGGGGACTCAAACTGTTACAACATATGCAGAACGCATAGAAAGAGCTCCTATAAATCAGCAGTGAAATGAACGGTGAACTGCTGTAGTCATGTACGTACCTGATGTATGTAAGAGTTGAGTGGGTTGTAGTAGTCACATTCATTGCCCTTATACTGAAGCTGGTCATACAAAACTGCATTGAGGGCACAGATGACTTGCCTCTGAAGCTCAAAGTCTTCCAACACCATGCAATCACCTACAGAACACAACGTTAAGGTAAAATGAGTACAGTCACCACTTCTGTATTAGTACTGACATTAATAGATTTATGAAAATTGCACTGGAGCATCTGATCTACCTTGGCCCGTTCTCAGGCTTGGGTGAGAGGCGTTTTTCACTCTTAGATACTTTTTCACTTTCTCTGTGATGTCGTTTAGTTGGGCGGATATACTTTCAAGGGTAACATCAGCCAGAGGGTTACAATACTGATCGACTAACACAGCACCTTCAAAAGAGAGAATCATATAGGAAACAATTAAAATAATAAATCATGATTCATCACATTTTTTTCCATTTAAAAGGTGATTCGTTTTATATAGCTATACGAGTGGACAAAATAAACCATCAGAATGTATTACTTTCAATAATTCAATAACATTATTTTCACTGTGTGAACACAGAGTTCACATGAAACTGAACATGAAATTTCCGATTTTCATCACTGACGTCCAGTGAGAGCAACAGTGGCTGTACGCTTCAATGAGCACATATATCATATCTACCATATATACAGTCAACGGTTTAACTCTCCTGTGACTGGAGCCTCTCAATCTTGTTCATGCAGCCCGTGGATTCTTGATTCAATGGAGGCTCTCAAGAAATCTGGGGCCGGATTCGTGAAAGTGTCTTAAGTAAGAAAGTCTTCTTAAATGTGTGTTTTTTCGTACTTCATTCTTAAGAAAAACTTATGAGAAATTGGTATCCTTCAAATAACTTCTTAAGAATTAAGGTATAAACTTACATTATTATTAGTTATATTTGTCTAGGGTTAGGGTTAGGGTTAGGACACCAAATTTTATATATATTTTATATAATATTGACTGTGAACTTGTCTTATTGTAAAGTGAACCCATATGGATGAGAAATATATGCACATATTTTTGGGAATAATATAAATAAATGTGCAATATATGTGCTAAAAATGCACTAAAACATTTAATTGTGCCATTTTTAATATTTAAATATGTGTCAATATATGCACATATATGTCAATATATTGAAATACATGTGCATTGAAGACATTTTTTGTAATACTTACATACATTTACAATCTCGACACACATTTCAAAAAATATATGGAAATATATTTCTTTATTTATGGGAAAATTGTGAATAAACATAAACATGCAACTGGTTTTTGCCTTATAATTGTCTTACCGTACATAACTTTGTCTTTGTTTCATTGTTGGATGCTGGTAGCTAAATCTTACTCAGAAATGTTGAAAAAGTAAAAAGATAAAATGCAAGTATCACTGAATTATGCAATATTTTCACCTTCCAGGGCGGACTGCTCTTCTGAAGGACGCTCCAGAAAGGCCTTCAGATTTCTTAAGATGTTCTGTTGGCGAAGGAAGTATAGGATTTTCTTTGCATAGTACTTCAGTGTCAAGCTTTTTCTAAAAGAGAGACAGAGATAAACAGAGGCTTGTGAAGATTTTGAAGCGTGTAAAGATACGAGAGAAAAAAGGTGCCTAAAACCCCCCAGTAAACAAATGCAGTCCTGACCTTTTGTCAGAGTTGAGGATGGAGAGGAGCTCGTCTTCACAGAAATGTTCAGGGGCACCCAGGGACTCGATCTCTGTAAAGCTGTCTCCCAAAACCTGGCCAACGCAAGGCTGAGTTACAGACCTCTAGGTTAGTGCTTAAAAAGCAGCCACGATCCACTTACCTTACAAAACTACCAGCTTTTCAACTGTGCATTAAAGCGATAGTTCAGCACTAAACTCCTTTTCCTCTTACTCTAAATACCGTCAGTTAGAAAGGACATGATTGGCGTCTGATGTTTTTTTGTTTTCAGTGTTGCGCTGGAGCTACGAGGCTAATGTAGCTAACAAGTAGTGAAAGCATATGTATAGAAATTAGCATTATGCTAACTACGTACCTAAATCACCACAAACTTGCCTCAAGTCAGGTTAAGTTGTTAAGTAATCTCTAATGGACTTGCTTATGTGGTTTGACACAAGTATGTATGAAATCAAGCTTCAAGATGGCGGCTACTGCTGTTCTTAGCTATGTGACAGAATGTGTGCTAATAGCTAATGCTAATGCATAAACTCACTGAGAGGTATAAGCTTCCATTATATCTTAGCATTACTCTTTGGACTGACTGATTACATTCAGTGTAAGAGGAAAGTGGTATGAATTAATTCTTCAGTTTGAAGTGGATTTCTACTATTTTTTCAAAATGTCTGCTTAATTCAGTCGTTGAGATGTAAACAAAGTCATTCAGAGTCGTTTGATGTGAAATTGGACAGAATTCATTGGAAAGAAACTTGCTGACTTACTGATTTCTTAACAATGATAGTGATAGGAACCAGGGGTCACATTTTATTTGCCATCCAAAATGACCACTGAAACTACACGTCTTTAGTGTTTTTATGATATGATATGATATGGATGGACAGACAGATGGATGGATATTGCAGTGTTACAGTATCAAGACATATAAATAAACATAAACTTACATATATTATGCAAAAATGAAAAAATAGACATTAGTAAAGTATGAGAGAGTCGAAATATACGTATATCGATTGATACTGATAACGTTATTGTTAATGGTGAAATAGTAGTAAATCTGGAAAAAAAATCTTTGGGGAATATTTTGCCTCATAATGCCCTGCATGCACCTCTCCGCTATGATCAGATTTCAAAAATACATTTTAGGCCAAAAACTATCATAAAACAACGTCTCAGGCATTTGTAACCACTGTGTGTAATAGCTTTTTTAAGTGAACTTTTAGAGGCATTGAACTCTTCAGATGGTTCCCATCACCTCCACTGTGAACAATTCTGACTGTGAGATTCTCTAGAACAGAGTTTTCCATATTACACCACTCTGGATGACTTTGTTTACATCTTAACAATAGAATTATGCAGAAATTTTGAAAAATGAGTGGAATTCCCCTTCAACATAATAACAGTTACACTTGCAATAAATTAATTCTTAATATATGTTACTGTAAACTGTGATATCTTTTAAGACTACAGCAGGCCTGCTACTGGCATGCCATTCTCTTTCAAGGTCACTTACAACTTCTGTGAAGAATCTCTTGGAGATTGACACGACTGTTCTTTGGATCTGTAAACACACCATGTGTCTGGTCCTGTATTCTTTTTGCCAATCATAGGACTCATTCTGCCGGTAGAGTTTCTGCAGCCTAGGCCACCTGAAAATAAACACAGAAATACAAAACAGTCCTGTTATTTTTTCTCATTCCTAAAAATAACACAAATACAGACCAAACAGAAATGAACCGCTTGAACTTCAAGGAACTGTGGTTGGTTTCAGACTTCCATTCCTCACTCTCACAACTCCATCATTTACATATTAGTCCCCCAGCAGTTAAAGTCACTGAATAATGTCTTAAGATTAATAACTGAATAATAAGAATTTAAGGTTATGGAGGTCACAGATATTAATCACATTCTACTTAGACACATATTACAAAGCTTTGTGGTTACATAGGCCCACTGCAATTTGCCCTCTGGATGTTTTTTGGGAAGCCTCAGCCTTTAAGAATAGTGTTAGGCTAAAATGTATTACAATTTGTGCAAAGAAGACTGTCTTGTTCAGAGCAGCTTCATAATCTATCACAAATGTAACTTGGCAGATGTTGGCTGTTGGCAAAGGGCACCAGATTATTTAAGAATTTCAGGAGGTCATTCAAGGCCAACCACTGTCCACACAGACTGAAACAAAACAGGAGATAAGAGGAGTTTATGTAAATATTTTTTGTTTCTTAGCTTGGCATAACTGACTGGCTATCAGTGCTGGCTAACTTGTCCAACTTCTCTCTGAGAGTTTGGTCACTGTGGCCTCATTTCCCAGACCCAGATTAAGCCTGAAGGGGACTAAAAGGGATTTTTAATTGTGAAACACTGCAGGTTAGATTAGGCTTAATCCATGTCCACATAACCTGCCCTATACGGCAAAAACTTAGCCACAATTAAAAACAATAAGTAGCAAGTAATCAATAATAAGTCGCTGTAAGTACAACAATAGTGCCTCTGATTAGTAGGTCAAATTTGGTACACTCACTGGCCACTTTATTGGGTGCACCTACTCTGTATCTATGTCCTTTTTATCAGACCCTCTTACAATATAGGTGCACTTGGTCGTTCTGCAATTACAGACTATAGTCTATTTGTTTCTCTGCATACTTTGTTAGCCTCCCTTTACCCTGTCCATCAATGGTCAGGACTCCCACAGGGCAGGTGTCATTTGGGTGGTGGATCATTCTCATCATTCTCAGTGGATGACAATGACAGTAGCTCCAAGGTGTGTGTGGCCAGTGAGTGCAAGTAGTAACGTTATGTACTAAGTAATAAAGTAGTACATACTCATTAAAAGGTGGGCCTATAGGTACGTTTAACTAATTCGAGCAATACTGCCAAAGTCATTAACCAGCACGAAGCTGAAGCCAGCTTTAATTCGCCAGCTTCTTGCTCGAATTTTCCCGTTCCACCTTAAATGGTGCGGCCGTTACATTCTAGCTCTTGAGGCTTTGGCAGTTTGAGGCGTCAGAATGTAACCGTTGCTGCTCCATTTAAGGTGGAACGGGAAAATTGACGAATAGGAAGCCAACTTCAGCCTCGTTAAATCAGCCGTGTTTGTGGCGCAAGAGGAACACGTCAGATGTTATGTTATGTGGTGTGTAAAGTGTCTCTATACAGTTTAAAACATGCAAATTAGACTATAATTACTCAAATGTCCGGCTGGGTGTGTTGTGGTGTTTTAACCTGAGTTTGTACTGGTGGCTCCAGACCTTCCCGCTGCCGTCACACACGTCGTGCAGTCGCCTGCAGCAGCAGGACACGTTGGAAATGTCGATGTGGTTCAAGACGGGGAAGCACAAAATGTACTCTAACACTTCCGTGGGCAGATCGGTGAGTCTTTTGCCCCGCGTTTCCGAGCTTTTGCCATTTGCTCCCGACAACCGCTCTCCGTTGCAAGGCGTCGCCATCTTTTCTGTTTACTCCAATGACATCATCGCGGATGACACGCCCCGTTTTACACGAGGCCACGCCCAGTTCTGGCGCAGGGGGCGGGGAGAGCTCTGTGAGTTTTCACTGGTGCTGATATAAACTCATAAAAAATAACGTTTATTCGGTTAACGTTTATACAACGTTTATACCGCTTAAGTGCTTGGAATGTTGTTGTTATACATTAATTGTTGGGTTAATTTTATACTATGTGAGCCAAGTAAATAAATAACTAACTAACTAAATAAATAAATACAGATAAATAGACAGATTCAGTTTAGATGCTAAAAGTCGCTTTCCTTTCACGTCTTGTTTATGATTCGCTTCACAAAAAAATAAATGAACAAACAATAAAAACAAATAAAACAAGCAAAACAGTGAGCTAAATAAGTGTACTAAATATGATATAACAAAAATGATCATAGATGTATGTCTGATTCAGGTTAATAAATTATTTCTTTTCTGACTTTTCTCAAACAAAACGAAATAAATGAATAAATAAATAAATAAATAAACGGCTAAAAATAAATTAATAAAAATTGCTCATACGTTTGGTTAAACACCATGTAATATGTAGTACAAAACTATGGAAGAAATAAATCTATAAATTAGGTAAATGAACAATCACATAATTAAAAACAGGAAAACATGCTGTTGTAAGTTTATTTATTTATGTATTTATTAATGTTTTGCTTAGGAGCTTTTTATTTATTCATTCATTCATTTATTTATTTATTTAGTCACATTTAATCCCTTACAGTATTATTAGCATTGTTGTAATAAAAAAGTGAAGAATGTATTAAGAAAGCATAAGGAGGCCAATAATGAAGGGTTAGTCGATAATCATAAGCGACCAACAGCGACAGGCAGTGCGTGGATTTGGGATGTTCATTTTGATGTTATTTTATTATTTATTCAATCATGCGCTTATGCACCTTTCTGTTGTGTGACGTGATAGGATGTCTAATACCGGCGGTGGCACTGCGCATATGTAGCGCCAGTTGATGTGCATGAACGCGAGTATTGCTGCCCGGCTTTCACGGCATGAGGAAGAAAATCCACTGAAGAGTTACTGAAAAACAACAGGCAGTACCTGAGTCTGCTCGCCCTGATAATCCAGCCGCAAACGGAATATTTATATCAGGTTTTTCCTTTTTTACGGGCTCTGTTTGTCGAAAACAGATGGATTATGGCGTTTATCCGTGAAGTACGGACTTTAGAAGCTGGAGTTGGGGGTTAACGTTAGGTTAGCTATCAGGCTAACAGCAAGTGTTTACAGTAAAGGTGGAGGTTTTTTACTCCAGTTTTAGAGAAATACCAGAGAAAAACAAACAACTGTGACTAATTTGGGATTGTATAGGCATTACAGTCTCTAGATAGCTGATATCAACAGTTTAAAGTTACTACTTTTATTAACTTTTTGGGTAGTAGCAGCCAAGCCAGCTAGCTGACTCTCACTTCTGTTATATGTGACTCATTTAACCTAACCTTGCTAACTGTACGTTACGTTACGTTTAATATTGTGTAATATTATCAGCTATATTCCTTCATCTCCGCAACAAACACTGGAGTTTTATACATGAAGTACTTAGAAAAATACTGAGAGCAGGTGTAACCTGGTTCAGTCTAGTGTCCTCACTGCTAACTGTCTCTTACTGGCTGAAATCCAGGTCCTGTGGTTGTAATAATCTCATTGTGTTTATTAGGAGATGGGGTTGTGTTGTTGTGTTAGTTGATTACACTACACTGGGGGAGAATGCAGTTTTTGTCGTCCAGGCCAGTCACACTGGACTGTTTGCTCTGGTGCAGCAAGTGCCTCAGCCAAGTTTAGTAGGTTAGCAGCTCGAGACTCTGTGTAAGTGGATAGAAACCCTGATATATCTCTAAAATGGCGAGTGTTCTGGCATCCAAAATGGGCCTCAATTCCTTGCGAAGAAGACAAGCCAAGACCTTCAACGTGAGAATCGTCACGATGGACGCTGACTTGGAGTTCAGCTGTGAGGTGAGTTGGTTAACTGGTGAGGAATCAGCGTGGCTGGTTAGGAGGGGATTCTAAACCAGGGGTTTTCAACCTTCTGTACCTCAAAGCCCACCTGTTAATAAATACAAAGAATAGCGGCCCACAAAATCAACTTTTTAAATACATTTCTTTTTCTGAAGAAGTGCCGAAACTGAAAACCTGAGAATCAGGTCCTGAGAAAGATCAGACTGTCTATTTTGGCTCAATCACAGGTCCCGAAATTTGCAGTTATGTTAAAAAATATGACCTTACCGGCCCACAATGAACTACTGCCTCCCCAGAGTTCAGGCCTGTGGACCACTACAGGGTGCTTCGCAGCCAGCTGGTGGTCCGCAGACCACAGATTGAGAAACCCTGTTCTGCACTACATGTCCTGAAGTATCAGGAAACCTTTTCTAGTTGGTGAATTCAGATACACTCTAAAAAAAGATGGTTTTCAAGGGTTCTTTAGTAAAGGGAGTGGTTCTATTTAGACCCAAAAAGGGTTCTACTATTGTTATGATATCAAGCTCCTAACAATAGTAGAACCCTTCTTGGTGGTATATAGAACAAAAAAACTTAGATTAAGAACCATAAGCAGAACCATTCCCTTTGCTAAAGAACCCTTGAAGAACCATCATTTTTTAAGAGTATGCTTTAGGGTGCATTCGCTGCTGATGCTGTGTTTAATTGCATGTCTTCACAAAGAAATACTGACCATGACTCTATGATTACAATGCCCAATGCCAAGTGTTGGCTAGAGGGGTATAAAGGCCCCCAGCACAGTGCAGCTACCTTGTCTGGGGTGACGGAGATCCATCCACTACCTTCGGGATGAGTTGAAGAGGTGTTTATGATCCAGAACTAACAATCCAACATCAGCACAGATGCTCCTGCGGCTGAATACAGACAAATCCTCATAGCAATGTTCCAGCATCTAGTGTAAAGCCTTCACAGAAGGGTAAACGTAAAGGGTTACTACAGCAAAGGGGGACAAACTATATTAATATAAATATATATGTGACGTGTGTATGTGTGTGTGTGTATGTGTGTGTGTATATGTGTGATGTATATCATCAATATTATTTAAGAAATGTGCCTTAAGTCTACTGTAAAGATAGTAGGGGTTTCTGAAAAGGCTTGTGCTCAGTTAGGGGCAGGGGGGCTTGCTAGACTGAAATTGGATTTTCCTCTCTCATTTGGGAGATTCTGTGCATTTTGAAACGAATGTCCCATATTTTCTGTTTCTGAGCTCAGTTGACAGGAAGCACGTGGCTCATGACCAGAACGCTTTTGAATTAGTGGGAAACAGATGGTGGAAAAGGCTGTGGCGGCCTGGCAGAGTGGTCAGTTCTGTCCCTCTCCTCATGACCCTGTCTGTCTGTCTGTCTGTCCAGACAGTTTTCTGTCTTCTGTCTGCTTCTTGCTTCATTTCACATTACTGCACACGTCTGTCACTTAACCACCAAACAGCTCTGCATTATGGATTTTGTTGTTGTGGACATACAGGATGGTTTCCTGGACACAGATTAGTGGAATAGTTTGGTGAAAATATCAGCCAAGATATTTGGTATTTGGTGTTTGCTGAAGTTGCTTATTTAGTTTTGCATTGGAGATAAAAGGGGGATGTAGCTAGTGAGAAAAGGATGAATATATATTAACTATTAGCATCATGAAATCTTATAGTGTTGTTATAATAGACAAAAGTGTGTCACATGGCTAAAAACAATAGTAGCAACCATGTTGCCTGAATGTTGTCTGTATTTTTTGACTGTTTTGATAGATCATATGTGAATGTTCACCGTATGTGACCATACAGTGAACATTCTGCTGCTGATACAGTCTCTCTATAGAAAGATCCCTAATAGTATAGATCTTGACTAGTTGTATGTAGGTCTGTAGAGTCTGTGGCGTTACCCAGCTGCCTCTTTTTCTGTACGTTACCGTTCAACTTACCTGATTCTTGATTCATAGGGGCGCAGAGTTGCATCAGTGCATTTTGATGGATACAGTGGGCCGTAAGCCGGAACAGTAAAGCTGACAATAAAGATGAAAATTTGTCCTTTCGAAAACTGAGGCTACAGATGGCGCCGGCATGCTAGCAGTGACTTTCCTTAAGTGGGACGTTGTGTGTTCAAGTGGTCTCAAACCTCTTCAGAGCTGTACCCCCTCTTGATACTCGGCATGAACAGTGCTTACAAATCTCTTGTCTAATGTTTTATTAATATTGAAATTATTTGTAAAGTCTTACAATTTCACACTTCATTGTAGGCATATTTAATGTTTTCTTCTTTTGGCTGTAAACTGAAAGTGTTGACCATTGTTGACCATTTTCACTAAAAAAGCGATATTTAACTGCATCCCTAATTTGTACCAAAGTAATCAAATCTAATCAGGGTGAATTTGATGCATTGAATTATTTTACGAAAGAATTATAATTGAATCAAATCTTTGGGAAGTAGATCAATAGTCCTGTTTCTTCAACCCACTTTTCTAATTCTCCATAAATGCTATTAAACTGTAATCCTCAGAGTCTCCAGCAGAGTGGGTCACCTTCACAAATGCTAAAATATTTAGATAAATAAGTGTTATAATCGGTGCTGTTCATTCATTTGCCGTTCTTTTTTTTTAGGCTGTGCTTATTTCCACCGACTCTTACCTAAAGATTGTGCTGTATTCAAACATGTTCACACTGTAGTAGTGTACTCAGATGGAAATTTTCCATATTATGTTGGGCTGTCACTGTCAACTGTATTAGAAATGATATAATCTACTGATTATATTGACTGTTAATGAGGTTTTAAAAAAGACCAAACAATAAAAAATAGATTTAACTGAACAATAGCAAACTATGCGTAGACTTACAGAGTACTTTGCTAGGAAAATAAGCAATACATTTTTTAAAACAAACGAACAAAAAAAACACATTAGAAGACTTTAAAAACGCAAAAATGCATATAAATGTCCATCAGGCTCTGTTTCATACTATAAGAAAAATCAATAAGAGCTTTTAAATGTATTATTATCATGCAAACTGCCAACTAATCACTGCAGATTCACTGAGAAGGTAAATTTATATATATATATTGATTAATTGACTGATCGTTGCAGCCCTTGTATTATGAAATCCGATCTGTTCTATGTTTGTTTATCTCCTCGTGTTTATCTGCTCTTGCATTCTAGCTGTTTTAAAGCAAACCACTTGGTGGCAGCATGTCGTCAGAAGTAAAGCCACTGTCATATCCCCCCCGCTGGTGCTCGCATTTGAGGTTTGATGTTTATCCTCACTTTGGATACTAGTGAGAATATCATTTCAGTCATCAAATTGAGGCGTACTCATCCATAACCCATATTTTTTTCACGCTGTTTTTGCAACTCGAGGCCGTGTTCGAATTTTTATGTTCTAGGATGATGGAACATCTGCTGAACTAAGACGCTGCAGGGCCGTCATTAAGATTATCACGCCAAGCGTGGAACCCCTGCCCTGAGAGCAGAGAAAACAAACGATATGGCGTCGTTCTGGACAGCGATCACGCTCTCGCTCTCAGTGTTGTCCCCAAAGTGAAGCTTCAGCCTTGCGGGAAGTGTTTGTTTAGAGATGTGCCCGCTGTAGCTGTGTGTAATGTGATTTTAATTAAGGTGAGGGTGAACGGCGCTGTGCGTGTTTGTTTACTGTTGGTTGGGGATTTCGTTCACACACTGAAGATGAATTGATTTTTTTTAAGTTGTTTTTTTTCCTACCTGAGTGCTTCTGAGACAGACACTGTGTGTGAGGGTGGTCCTCTGTGTCTGTCTGTCCCTCTGTGTGTTCCCTTCTAAAGCAAGTGTCCCCAAGTGTGCCTGTACCCCTTTGTGTCGGTGTGCAGGCACATGCATCTGTGTGTCCCTGTGTGAGCGTGTCTCTGCGCATATGCTTGTGTCTTCTTGTGAGCCCGTCCCTGTGTGAGCCCGTCCCTGTGTGAGCGCGTCCCTGTGCATATGCTTGTGTCTTCATGTGAGCGTGTCCCTGGGTGAGCGTGTCCCTGGGTGAGCGTGTCCCTGTGAGCGTGTCCCTGTGCATATGCTTGTGTCTTCATGTGAGCGTGCCCCTGGGTGAGCGTGCCCCTGGGTGAGCGTGCCCCTGGGTGAGCGTGCCCCTGGGTGAGCGTGTCCCTAGGTGAGCGTGCCCCTGTGCATATGCTTGTGTCTTCATGCAAGCCTGTCCCTGTGAGCCTGTCCCTGTGAGCCTGTCCCTGTGAGCCTGTCCCTGTGAGCCTGTCCCTGTGAGCCTGTCCCTGTGAGCCTGTCCCTGTGAGCGTGTCCCTGTGCATAAGCTTGTGTCTTTACATGTGCATCTGTGTCTCCCTGTGCATGTCCCTGTGCACGTACATGCCCCTGTACATGTCTCTATGCATTTCCGTGTCCCTACACGCATATACCTGTCCTTGCATGTGTCCCTGCCCTGATGTATTATGTGCGTATCTGTGTCCTCATGTGTGTGCATGCAGGTCAGACAGAAATGTTGAGGAATTTGAAAACAGAGGGCATTCTTAGTGCCTTTCTTAGCTGAACAGGCCTTCAATGTAGCCTAGTACAGAGTATAGGGTCTGTGAAGTATAAGCTAAAGCAGTGGTTCTCAGTCCTGGTCCTTGCATGTTTTAGTGTTATTCCCACCCCATCTTGTCTAATTCAGCTATTCAGCTCATTACTAGACCTTTACTCAGTTAAAGTGGATGTGTTGGAGAAGGAAAGGGAAAAAATGTACAGGACAGTACTGAAATGTCCAGGGCCAGAGTTGGGAAACTGTGCTAAATCTGATTGTTTTGAAGTGCTTGGCTCTGCATGGTTATGCAGCTGAGGCTCGTTTCACTCACAAATGGCAGCGTTAACTTTCATGAGGTGCGATAAACGTATCTGCTGCGGTTTGCCTCGATCAATATGAGCAGTTTCAGAAGCAAAGCTTGTGGGAAGGTAATACTGCTGAGTGAATTTCAGTCCCTCTGAGGGCCCACAGGTATTACGCTTTCCTTATTCTTTTGACGTTATGCTGGATTTCTAGTGAATGCTATTTTCTTAAAGGGCCCGTATTGTGGAAAATTGAATTTTCCCCATTTGTTTGAGATGCGAGTTTGAAGTAGTCTGTAAACATTTGTTAAAGTTTTAGAAATATGCCATTCATTCCACAGTCCATACAGCCCTGTAATTGAAATGACACTGTAAAAACTGTCTTGTGAAAACAACACATTTCTGCCTTTTTTAAGCCTGCAGCAGTTTAGCTCTGCCTATTCACACTGAAGTTGTAATATGTGGACAGCCAATCAGAAAAGAAGTCATTTACATACATCAGTCTTAACCCTTGTGTGATGTTCAGGTCTGTGGGACCCATTTTCAATGTTTACCAAAAGAAAACATTGTGATTTGTTAGTATTTTAACCTCAGATTCTTGGCCTTCCCTCATTTTCTGTGAAGAACATATAAAATAACACATTTTCAGTGACTTCACTCTGTTCACCCCCTACACACATGCATATACTACACATGCATTTTTGGCCTGAACCTGGAGGTGCTGTGTCCTTCACTCTGTTCTCCTCCTACATGGCCTGCTGTTAGTCTGTGTGTGTCTGTGTGTGTATATGCGTTTGTATATATATGTGTGTGTGTGTGTGAGGGGGGACAACATGGACAGGCTGCTGACTGGCTACAGCTGCTAAAGGAGAACCCTACACTGGACACTTGTGATATTTTAAATATTTGGTGTTTTTACATAAATTGTTATGACTGTATTGGTTTAAAAAAACCAATGCGTTGGGTCCACCAGACCACTGAGTAACCAAAACCTCTACACCACACTAGGGTTAAAGGCACTGTAACCAAAACAGCCTATTTAATTCTCAGGGACTCTCACTGACTCATGTTTAAAACCGGCTTCACCAGCTTGTGCATGTCCTTGAAGGCAGCCCGTTAATGCCCGGAGGGGAAACATCAACATGCTTAATTGGCCGGACTCTGGACGGCATGTTGTCAGACGCCATCATACATAAACATTAGGCCAGATGAAGCCGCGCCTTGAACAGCACCTGTCGCTGTAGTTTTAATGAAGTTTGCAGTGCTGATGAGGTCCCAGTGCACACTGCCTGCTCTGCTTTATCTCAGCCTGCAGCCAGCACACGAATCACGACATTAGGCTCCTTAATTCAACAGATGGAGTGATTTTTATGAGCGTGCTAAGATGCTAGGATGCAGCAGCTAAAGCCTTGTAGCTGCCTTGTAGATCATACTGTGTCTAACCATCTTAACGATGAGTCAAACGCTGCTGCCGCATTTAGGCCGGAGGAACTTTTCTAGAAAAGGAGTGTGATAGGGCTTATTATCATTCAGTGGTGCCTCTCCAGCTCACTTTATTTATTTTCTGTACAAGTATTAGTCCCTGATTTGTATCAATTTCATGTCTAGGTTGCTGTTTTCTTAGCTTTGCCCTTTTTGAAGGACAGCTTTTGGCAATCCGACAACTTGAAACTGCATTTCAGCTAAAACTCGCCAAGTCAGGTTGAACGCTAGCAGCTTAATGAAGGCGCTGCTTGATAGCGAGGAGAGCTTTTCTGCTGTTGATTTGTTCTTGGGCCTCAGATAAAACCATTCCACCAAGGAATTACCAACTGATTTGCTTCCTCAGCCATATGGCCTTGGGTTTCTTGTCCATAGTTAAAATACAACTGGTTAGCAAATGTAATTGAGTTCTGTTGGTCCCCTCGAGGTGTGTGTTGTGGTGCTTCTGTGCAGACTGATCTGCTCCTCTTGCCAACAAACTGAATTTGAGCCTGTATCAAACTCCCATGTAGACTCAGGCTTAGTGCTGAGAAAGCAGCCTAGATTTGTATAAGCATATGATAGACTTACAGAAGAGACCCATCTGTTGTTGCATAGCGCTAGCCAAACAGTGATTTTTTTTTTTTTATTTTTATTTATTTTTTTTTCTCGATTCCTCAAGTTGTATATGCAGCATTTGTAGGATTTACAGTTAAATATGTGTTCTTTTTTCCTTTCAGGTGAAATGGAAAGGGAAGGACTTGTTTGAGCTGGTGTGCAGAACCCTGGGACTCAGAGAAACGTGGTTTTTCGGCCTTCAGTACAACGTCAAAGATACCGTGGCATGGCTCAAGATGGACAAGAAGGTAAATAAAGCATTAAGATAATAATAACAATTGCCATGTTTAAATAATCTCTATTTTGTCTAGCCCGGACTGTTACGGTTCTGATGGCCTTAATAGTCTAAAAAAAAAAAAGGTCCAATTTTTCAAAATTTCTGCATAATTCAGTCATTGAGAAGTAAACAAAGTCATTCAGAGGGATCTGATTTTAAATGGTGCATTATAAGAGAAAATAACCAGTGTGGATTTCTTACTACGGATAGTCTGAATAGGCCGTGAGCTGTGGCTGTAATTTTGTGGATTGTTTTCTTGAGATCACAGCACAATCAAGTCATGATCTCAAGAAAACAACTTGTATCTTGTGATAACGAGACAGTCTAGTTGTTACGTTGAGACCATGACTTAGTTATCTTGTGATTTCGAGATAACAATCAAGAAAATTATAACTACTAAATTATCATGGCCTCTCTGGACTTCCATACTTTACCATGGTGGTGACAAGAATCAGGGTTAATAATGACTATAACAAAAATACAGACATTTTGAACCTAATTCTGTCTTGTGAGTTTTTTTATATGGATTGTAAATAAAGGTAAAATAGTGGTAAACCTAAAGGTTTTGTCAGGGACAATAATGCATGTGCCTCTCTGCAAGGAATGGCATTAAAAATGGTTTAAGGTCAAAATCTTATCTTAAAACTATTGTAAATCAATGCCTCAGGCATCAGGCAATGTATTCTTAACCTTTTCGTGTAATAACTTTATGTGAGAGAGAGAATTTGCTATAAAACATGCCATACCTTACACTTGATGGTTTCTTTGTTTTATTTTCCTCCTCCAGCGGTTTCCTTGTTGTATATTTGTATCTATATTTGATCTTGTATTTCTCTGGAAGGTTTTGGACCAGGACGTTCCTAAAGAGGAGCCCATTGTTTTGAATTTCCTGGCAAAGTTTTACCCTGAAAACGCAGAGGAGGAGCTGGTCCAGGACATCACCCAGCATCTGTTCTTCCTGCAGGTGAGCAGCAACCTGCATCACTGCGACTGCTACACTATCAGTACAACCACTACACCATCCCTATGACTACTACACTTCTACTAAACCATCAAAAACAGCTGCTAAACCACTCTGGTGAGAGCAACAGAGCAACCACAGATTCACCAAAGACAATGACAGATTAAATTAACTGTGAGTTCATTATGTTGGTGTAGTTCTCCTTGAACAGCTATTTGAGACCGGAGGTGGGCAATATGATGATATTTTATCGTTATCGTGATAAATTACTTTTGCAAAAATGTTCTTTAATTTTAATGTCAGTAAAGCAATTTTTGAGTATTTTTGTTGGTTCACTCATCATGAAATCTTCACACAATGTAATAGACAGCTGCTGTGGCCAAATTATGAAGAAAAATTAAAAGCAGAAGAAAAATGGTAATACTGTTTAACTGAATTTAGAGCAGCATAGGAAACGTTGAATAAAAATCAAAACTTTTTTAACTTTTTCACTTTTTTAATGTGGCTCTATTGGGCCTTTTATGAGACTTATCAAGCCTCAGAAAAACTAAACATGGTGATACGTATCTGTATTGTGAAAGTGTCTTCAAGTATCATGATATTGTGTTTTTCTGTATCACCTACCCCTGTTTGAGACACTGCAAGTTTCTATGTGTAAACTTCACTTCACTCCCCCATTCTCAATTCCTGATGTCACCCTTCGCATATTTAGTGTCTGGATGGTCCAACTACCTTTGTTTCTCTCCGCATACTAGAACAGTATCAGTTTCGGCTTACCTTTCATCTCACATGACAAAAAAAAGTGTAACATGACACTAGCTAGCTTTTGTTGTTACAGACATCTGCCGAAGTGCTCACGTAATGTAATTCCAGGGAGGTTATGTGCATGTTTACAGGCGCTGTGCATAACTTGGTGCAGTTCTGAAAACAGGTTACCGGTTCAGTCCTTACTGTTGGCTCTTAACCCTTGTGTGGTGTTGATGTGTTTGTTACTCAGTGGTCTGGTGGACCCACCGCATTATTGTTTTTTAAATCAATACAGCCATGACAGTTTATGCAAAAATATCAGATGTTTCAAATATCACAAGTGGTCAGCGTAGGGTTCTCCTTTAGCAGCTGTAGCCAGTCAGCAGCCTGTTCATGTTGTCCACCCTCACTCACACACACACACACACTCACACACACACACACACACACACACACACACACACACACACACACACACACATACACACACAGAGACACACACACACTAACAGCAGGCCAGGAGGAGGAGAACAGAGTGAAGGACACAGCACTCTTTTATTCCCCGCGTGTTCACCCCAACACCACGTGTGTAATATAAATGTGTAGGGGGTGAAAAGTGTGAAGTCATTGAAAATGTGTTATTTTATATGTTCTTCACAGATAATTAGGAAAGGCCAAAAAATCTGAGGTTGAAGTAATAATAAATCACATCATTTTTTCTTTTTGGTAAACATTGAAAATGGGTCCCACAGACCTGAACACCACACAAGGGTTAAAGTGCGCACTGTGAATGTCATTAATGGTGTGAAATGTATTTGTAGTAAACATATATTTTACTCTTGTAACAAAATCATACGTGTAATCATGAAAGTTTTTTTTTTTCTTTCCATAACCTACTGTTTGTGTTCAAGTGTTGCTCTCCTAATGGATGTGCATGTGCACTCAGATTTTTGTCCACATCCTTAATGGATTTTCGGAAAAGCTGCTTGTTGCTCTATGGAATGGCCACTCACATCTGTGCTCCTCCAGTGCAGAAGTAAACATCCCGAGTAGCTTCTAAACACAGTTCTGATTTACACTGCACTTTATATGGTATATCCAGTTGTTGCACCCTTTTTTTCAGTATAATTCAGTCATTAAAATGAGGAATGCTCCATTCTAAAGAAACTTTTCTTACACAAGAACGTTATTACACAAAAAATACATATTGATATGTTGCCTGATGCCTGACACATTGTTTCACAGTAGTTATAAGAGAAGCTTTTGGCTTAAAACGTATTTTTTTAAATCCATTCAGGGAGGAGAGATGCTTGCAGGGTGTTATGAGTCAGAATGGCTCGTAATGTATTTTTCTTCAGATTTATCACTATTTTACCATCATCAATATTACACGCTCAGAAAAAAGGTACTAAACTGTCACTGAGGCAGGACCCCTCTTGTCACTGGAGTGGTACCCTCAAGGGTACGTCTCAGTACCTTTAGTCAGGGAACATAACTGTACCATAATCCACTGAAATCATATTTTCTAAGCTGTACTGACTCCACGCACCCCGTCTCGTCTCCAGGCCTTTATTTTATTGTTCTGTTTTTTAAAATAAGGTTATGAAAAAGTACAAATATGTACTTTTCCACTAGGAAAAACTGCACACAGTTGGACCTTAAAACCTCCTTTGAGGGAACATTTACATTGTTTGTACCTTGATGAACGAAAAATTTGCACAGAACCTTTATTTCTAACCATGTACATGTAAAAACTCAGAAGACGTGAAAGTTCACTGGTGGTTTTGGGCAGTAAATAAAACGGTTATTTTTACATTGTAGACATTGTGACTCCTGGTTCCTATCACTGTAACGATTCTGAAAGTTTCTCTACAATGAACCATTTCATTTCAAACCACTCTAAATGACTTGTTTATATCTCAGTGATTATCTCATGCAGCAGTTTTGCAAAATCGTTTTTTACATTATTTATTTTATTTATTTATTTATTTTGTCGCCGTAGTGCTGAAAGCCTAACTGTTGATGAGGTAAGGTAGGTAGGCTGGGTATAGGCCAGAGAAGCTCGGGTTTCTTTTTAATCTGAGGCTGGACTGGCAGATCTTTCTCTTGTCTGTTCTCAGAAGCTGAAATCTCTCAGGCTTTTGAGAGGCTTTCAGGCTAACTTTACAATCTGACAGCTCCTGCTCTTCTCTTTCCTCTTACACCTGCGCAAGTCCCCCATCTCTCCTCCTGAATTCGCCTGCCCTCTTAGCTTCTGATAACCTCCGATAAGGGCAGCATCGCCTTCAAGAGACATTTTTAGAGATGAAGGGAGAGGATGTATTTCTTATTTGTCACCAAGTCCCCCAGGATTTCAGATGCATTAGGATGCTGTCGCTCCAAAAGCTGGTCCCACAGGTAATTATAAGCTACAAACACTTCTGTGGGGACGCGGTTAAAACTGATATGTGAAAGATTTGTGAGAGTGTAAATTCCTCTGGTCTGCAAAATGGGTTGACCTACACTACTGTGCAAAAGTCAGAGACCACCCTCTGGCTATTTTATTTCCAGTCAAAGCAGCCATAAAGTAGAAGTTATATAATGCTGAGGAGTTCAGATATAAGATAAACTGTTTGCATAAGGAAGAGGAAAGTCAGAGGAAAGCAAGGAGAATTAAAGGAGTATCTAAAACTAGAATTTAAAAAGTGTGTAGAAGAAATGGGACTCCTAACAACCATGCAAGATCTAGTAGACCACCAAAACGGTCCCCATCAGAAAAACAGCACTTAAAGCTTTCGTCTTTGAGAGAGAGGAGAAAATCAAGCTGCTTCAGATCTGAAAACATCCACAGGTGTTTCTGTCCATCCTTCCACTGTGAGAAGACGACTCATCGCTACGGGTCTGAAAGGATGTGTAGTTGTCAAGAAGCCTCACTGAGAAAAAGAAACAGATAAAAAAGGGGGAAAAAAAGCAAATCAAGCAGAGAAGGACTCAAAGAAGCAGAGTTGGACTGTCCAGTGTCCAGACCTCAACATCAATGAATGTGTTTGAGATTTCTTGGATCATGAGAAGCAGAAAATGCAACCAACTTCTAAGACTGAACTTTGGAGGTATATCTTCAGATTTCTTCCAAAAAACTGAAAGCAAGTCTCCTGAAAAGAACAGAAGGTGTAATAAAGGCAGAGGGTGGTGGGCGCACTAAATGCTGAAATTGAATTTGATATTGTATTTAGTTCTGTAAAGGTTGTCCAATCTTGCAGTAGCTGCTACAAAAAATATGGATGGAAAGGTCAGATGTACCAAACAGGCAAAAAGCACAAAACCCATTTCTGTTAAATTAAAAAAACAGGTTCATAGAAGAAGGATTTGCATTAGTTTTCTTTGTATAGTAAGTTAGTGAGAGCTTTCTAAAGTCGCGGTGCACTTCTCCATTCTTCTACCTCAGCATGATCAACCATGAGGAATCGATGCTGTGCACATAGGGCGTGTGTCTCTAAACACAGCGAAATGCCACCCACTGTAACACACTCTCTCTTTCTTGCTGTTTTTCTCTTTCTTCTGGAGAGGAAGCATTTGTTAGTCCTGGCTTTCTTATCGATCAGACAGCATTTGTCAATAATCAATTACGGCCCTCTACACAGACCGTACGGAAGGCCAGAAAAGCGTCCAGTTAAGCTGAGTTCAGGGCCCAAGTGAATTCGGTTCAGTTGGGCCTTATTGGCGTGACTGGCAGTTGTACAAGCCCAGAGAATACAACAGTAGAGCTCAAACACGTTATATTATGCTCTTTGGCCACATATTGTGTGTGTGTGTGTGTGTGTGTGTGTGTGTGTGTGTGTGTGTGTGTGTGTGTGTGTGTGTAAGTACCAGTCCAGGACCTTCACCCACACTAAAGCCCGGCACTCCAAGACATTCATGTCTTAAGAAAGTTTAAGTGGCTTATCAGCACCGTTAAATTTGAGGGTCGAGTCTGACCCGCCCGGTTCAGAATGGTAATGCGTTCGGAAATAGAAGGTAATGAATTCCAGAAGGATGTTAATGAATTCGAGCGAAGGCTTTCCAATAGAGAGCATGTTCTCTCTCACCCCTGCCCTTGCGCTCATCTGCAGGCAGGCGTTTAGCCGCTCTGCGTATGCGTGTGCTGATTCAGTTTAAAAACCCCTTCTCCTGGATCCTCTCTTATCAGGAACGGCCACCCTTCCCCATGTCCCGCTCTCAGCGTGCTGGCTCGTTTTGTAAAGCAGATTGAAAAGCCTGCCATTGACTTTGAGCCTTTTTGGGCAGCCACCAAGGCTCAAGCTTGCTACTTGATTTTGGTCTCCCCCTTCCTTTTTTGTAATGACTGTTTTAAGAATACCAGGGATGTGGGATGCATGGTGACATTTACAAATTAAGCAATTTAGAGGCATTTAAAGTGATGGTTTGGATAAAAATCATATGTAGGCCCAGTCCCATTTCTTATTTTTACACCTATCTTTTGTTTTCGGGTGTCACCTTGCCCCCTCTAACGAAGTTACAAAGTGTAGTGGTTGAAATCTTCCCCTATGAAATGGGAGCCTCAAATTAAGAAGAACATTACTTCATTAACAGGCTTTTAGCAGTGCTCTGTAAGCGACCCTGCCAGTCTGCAATGATAGCTGAGGAGGGTAAAGTTCAGCAAACTCGCTGCTGGGCTTTAGTTACATTTAGGGCATCACATGCCTTTAAAGAGATGTGATAATTATTTATTATGGCCCACTGTAAATTTTCCTGTTCCACCTTTTGATCTGTAACTTACTAAAACTTAGTGTGCTAGCTAGCATACGTGCTATCCAAACCACATGGTAGCCAACATGTTTTACATGTAGAGAAGCACACTGACCAGCTGATAGAAGATTTTTCAATAATGAAAAATCTTGAGATTTGTCTGCAATTTTGTCTATTTTTGTACATAATAGTACGGCATGTCCAACAGAAACCCTTTATATGCTGGCTGGTGAAATCGTCTCAAAGCTTGTCAAATTATCGAACATTTTTCATTTTGAGATTGTTGTAAGAATTTTGTAAGATTGATTAACATACTTCGTTTAATTTCTACTTTTTTCACAAGAACTTAATTTTTTATCCATTTAGCAAATAATTTTGATTCTTGCAGGTATTATTTCTTTGGGAAACAGAATTTTCTGCGTTATTCCTTGAAATAGGCAAGATTATTTGCAGATAGAATAGACACTTTAACTAGAAGAAAATACTTAACGAGTAAACAACAGTATAGAAATAAGTTAATCTTATAATATTCTTACATTTATGCTGACAATATTAGATGTTTAGACTATATTTAAGGCTCGCTCACAATTCACTTGCCATAATGTACAGTCCTGTACAAAAGTCATAGACCACCCGCCATTCAGTTAATTTCCAGTCAAAAATTAAGTGCAAGTTATTACTGTTTGTCAACATTTGTGAGGAAATTAGATATAAAATAATTCACTTGTGTAATGAAGAAGAAAGTCAAAGGAAAATAATGAAAACAGGAGTTTAAAAAAAAAAAGTTACAGTGAAAATTGGGCTCCTAACAGACAAACAGTACTAAAAGCTTTTATCTTTGAGAGAGAGAGGTGAAAAACAAACTCTTGCTTCAGATCTGAAAAAATCCACAAGAAAGAAGCAGAAAATACAAGGCCTGTGCATCTAAGACTGAACTGGAAGTGTGGAAAAATATCCCTACAGATTTCTTTGAAAAATTGAGAACATGTTTCGTAAAAACTAATGGAAGACAAAGGCTGGACAAATGAAAAAAAAAAAATATATATTATATTTAGTTGCTGAGGTATGTATGTAAATTTCTGTTAAATATATGTTTTCTGCTGTTTTTCATGGCACTGAAAAATGAATAACTTGTACTTAATGACCTGCATTTAGTGGAAATGGTGATCCTTGACTTTTCCACAGTTCTTTATTTTTTGTTTAGTCTATTTGAGATTACTTGCTCAAGTGTGTGATGATTAAATATGCAGATTGAGCAGTGCTAATTGCACGATGCCATAAGCTTCCTGTTCTTGTTGGGTACGTTAGCCTCGTAGCTCTGATGCAAAATTAAAGAAGCAAACTTCGGGCACCAAATATGTGTTGGCTGATCGACTACGTTCCTGGTAAGGAGAGAAATATGTGAATTTTATATTATCGCTTTAAATCTTTAATATGAACGTTTCTTTTGTTGCTGTACTTTTGACTAGTGAGAGTTTCTTTCTTAATTACTTAAATAAGCCCCTTGGCTGGCGCAGCGATTCTGCTGCTGATAACAAATGACGTTCTGGTGGCCAGCACTTTCCCATGTGCCTCTGTTTTCAGCCACAGCTTGCTCGTTTGGCAAAGCTGTGGTGTTTCCCAAACTGGGTGTAATTTGGCACAAAGTCATGGCCAGGATTTGGTTTCTAGCAGTTCACTCACTGTGGAGAAAGTACTGCAGTTTCATTAGTTTGATAGACTGTAGCTTCTTGTCTGCTTTTTTTTTTCCCTCAGGGCTCTCGTAGCAGGTCATATCTTAACAGACGTGACTGGCGAAGTGTTCGTGAGCCCGTTCATTCATTCATTCATTCATTAATTTGTGGACATGGAGCACACTGATGTGATTTAATAAGCACAGTGTTTATTCTGGAGCACTGTCATTGTTCTCTGTATCAGAATTTTGAGAAGGCTTGTCCCTGTCTACCTGCTTTCTCTCCAAACCCCTGCTGGGATCCATATAAACAGCCTTCCGGCAACTAGTGTGCTTCTTTCACCTCTGAGGCGCTGGCTTGTCTCAAGAAATATGCTGAAATATTCAGTTTTTGCTGTAAATGATGTCTAGGAGGAAGAATACAGAGAGAGAAAAGTTCTCTCTTCTGTAGTGGATATTTGGACTCTAATCAGGAATATTTGGAAAATAATCAGGGGTTATTGACTGAATTGCCACTCAGGCGACCCCCTCCCTAATGTGGCTTAAGCTTACACTGCAATAAATGGTATCTTCTCAAGTGAAATGATCTTAAATATAGTCAATATATCTAATATTTCCCATTTTAAGATGTTTTTGCACTTATTATAAAATTATCTAGCTTATTTCTAGACATTCTTGCTTGTTTTAAGTAATTTTATGAAGTTAAATTATCACTATATTGGCAGATAATTTTGCTGGTTTCAAACGAATTTCTTGTGAGATAATTTAACTTAGTAAAATTACTTTGTCTAGAAAATGTGTTGAAAATGAGGTGAATAATCTTAAATTAAGCTTAGAACAATCCCACCAGGAGAAATATTTGATTTATCGACTAGATTTAAGATAATTTTACTTGACATGGTACCTTTTTTTTTTTTGCAGTGTACTACCCTGAAGCTACATCCTTTTTTTGTATTTCCTGAAAATCAAGTATTAAACTGGATTGAGAGTAGTAGTAGGTGTTATACCGGTTGAAGTTCCTCAGGAGTTTTTCATAACTATTATACTGGTATACCACAAATAATAGATAACCTGACGTACAAACAATGCAAACCATGGTAGTGTTAGCTTTAGCTGATGGGTATTTCAGTCGCTTTTCAAATGAAAATGAAAATATAGCAGACCCTGAATCACCTCCCGCTGTCGAGTTTGTTGCATCTGAAGTAGTCCACTTTGTTTTCTCGAGACAGTGAACATAAAGGAATGGCAGGCCTTTGGAGGTTAGCCTTAGCCTAACATGGCCACCAGAGCGATTGCTGCAATTTCTCCTGCACCGCCTGAGAAGCAGCCTGACTCGGTCAGCTGTGCGCATTACATTCAGCCTTAAATGGCGCAGCACTTACATTCAGGTGTCTGTACAGGTTCCAGAATGTAACTGCAACTCCATTTATTGAGGAAAATTTGAGGAAAACTCTGCCATTTAACACAGTTTATGCCGGGTCTGCAGGGCTGGTGGTAGAAAGCAGTATTGACGTAGGTTTATCTATATATTGTCCACTTTTCTTTTTTACCATTTTCCACAAAAAAAAAAAATTCTTTCAGATTTTCTTCCGTTGATGGGAACAGTTCTTATTGAAACAAGAAGGGACATCCTAGAATAATAAATAATAAATAATATATTTATTTAAGCATTTCAAATGTTTTTTTTTTTTAACGTGAGGTGCCTAGGAACCAATCACATACCAATTGAAAGAAGGGGTCATAGTCACATAGAGTGTATGACTGTTAAATGGCAGCAAACCTCTAACAGCTCAGAGCATTCGTCGTTCGTACCAACAGTTCCAAGAAAAAGGTCATCAGCATCGCCAGATCTCATGCCGTGTGACTTTTTTGTGGGGGTAAGGATTCTGTTTATGTGCCACCACTCCCAACAGCTTTGAAAGAGCCGTCAGTACAGTGACACCCAACATGCTCAATAAAGTATGGGATGAATTTGATGTTGTCCGTCCAGCTGGAGGTTGTCATATTAAGCACATGTTTTTAGGTTTAATACAATGTTTTGATTCTGTTTTATTTTATGCGAAAAAAATCAAAGCCCAGCCCTGCATGTGTGTACTTGCGTGGGGTGTGTTTTGGGCCTCTTACTTCATATCTACACACAATTTGACTACATACATTTGCATATTCATGAGATCCTGCTGGTGTGTTTTAATGACCGTTTCTTCCCTTTCAGTGGTGCACAGAAAAGCTACTTGAGTGCTAATAGTAGGTGAGGAAGGTCCATGAGGTGCCTCACATCTAATAAAACAAACATTTCACCATCATTATAGTGGATGATCTCTAAAATCAGCTACAGATAGAGAAACCAACGTAATCTCAGCAAGAACAGTGGGAAATTTTCTCTACTAAAGCCTAAAGACTTACTCATGCCTCTGGCAATACTTTGTGTTAACAATCTTTGGTTAATAGCAGCAGGTGTAAGTAGCTGACACTTACTTTGCTTGTTAATTAAAATTGGCTGTACTCATTAATTGGCAATACTGACCAGGTTCTTGATTCTTTCCTATAAAATAAAAACGTGGAAAACTGGAATCTGTACTCAAATTTGTGTATAAAATGAATTTCATTGCCAGCAAAGTTGTAAAAGCATTTTCCTGTGGCTATGCAAAGGGTTTTCTCATTATGACTCACTGCTCTTTCTTGTGTTTCCTGAACTCCCGCAGGTCAAGAAGAAGATTCTGGAAGAGGAGGTCTACTGTCCTCCCGAGGCTTCGGTGCTGCTGGCTTCATATGCCGTCCAGGCTAAGGTCTGTGCACACTGGCCTCATGCGTCTGCTTCAAAAAAATCCCTCTCTCTCGCTCTCTCTTTCTCACTCACTCTCTCTGGCTCTCGCTCTCACTCTCTCTGACAGATGCCAGTTCTGTCTTAGCCTCCTGACGTCTTTCCAAGGTCCACGTTCCTCCTCTCCAGCGTCCACTGTGGGCACAAATGAGTTTTACTCACCAGGTGCCGGTCTGATTGACAACTGAAGGCCTCCTGAAGCAGTTGCTTTATCTCTAAGCCTTGACTAACTGCGAGTGCGTCACCTTGTGCCAATTTACAGCTTTTTCTCTCTCCGTCTCTCTCTCTCTCTCTCACTCTCTCAGTTTATAAGCTGCTAGTTTTTTTTTCTTTTTGTTTAAGCAATTTGTGGAGTTCACACAGCTAGGAAGTTGTTAGGCAGGGGTGGGGGGTGGGGGGGGTCTCTACCATTACAGCGTAACTTTAGACCGACCATCAATTTACAATTAGATTCGGTCCAGCAGCAGAAAGCTTTGTGGCTATTGATTTATTAGAGGAGGTGCAGGGGTTTGACAGCCAGGCACTGTCTGTCTGTTTACCTGTTTACAGAGGTGTAAACAGCATGGCTGCCCCTGTCCATCTTGCACCCATAATCACACCAGTGACGAGGTAGTAGTGGGCTGATGGATGGCAGAGAGGGCTGAGATAGCAGGTGGGGAAGGAGAGAGCAGAGGAGAGGTGGAGGGCAAACAGCAGATAGGAGCTGAGTAATAGGGGGAGGAGGAGGAGGAGGGAGATAAGGAGAAGACTATCAGAGGACAAAATGGAAAGAGACATCTCTTTTCTGAGAACTGAGAAGTGTTCTCTTGCTAAGCTTTAAGCTTTCTCTTTTTCTTTTTTAGTTATGCATGTGAAATAAAAACAGTACTGTGCAAAGGTTTGAGCGCCCCGATCAAATTCCGTTTTATTGATTTTCTATGTAAAAAAAAAAGTTAGCACGTCCTCTACAGAGAACACATTTCTGCACATTTTAATGCACAATTACTGTTTATTTGTTATTTATGTTAGTTATTTATCGCTGCTGATAAACAAAACCTTGTATGTCCATTTTTATCATTTTTCAGTTTTTGACATAATTTGAAAATGCCTGTTGTCCTTTATATTGTATGATGAATGGACCAAAAGAAGCAGCCCAAAGTGACTTGGAAAAAAGTCTGGTTCTGTTGACTTACATTAAAAGTAAAGTATGTTTTTTCCTTCTCCTGTAAAGTTACCATTTTGGAGGTTTGGAGAGGTTTATTATTTATACAGCAGCGTTATGTTAAAAAAAAAAAATAAAATAAAATAAATATAAATATATATATATATATATATGTATGTGTGTGTGTGTGTGTGTGTGTGTATATGTATAACAATATGCTAAATATGCTAAACTTTGCATATAAACTGAAATTGTGCACATAGGGCAGCAGTAAAATGCTCCGTTCAAGTGTCCTTATTTTCACTTTAAAAATTTTCCATGTTTTGACAAAAACTGAGTTGTACACCACAGTTTTTCATTAGATTGAATATTGAATGGGATTTTTTCATTTTCCAATCTAGGTCAGTTGTAGTTAGGTCAGTTGTGCAACAGCTGAGCAGCCAGTTGTCCATTTTTCATTCCTAGTCATTGTTTCAATTCAAATCCAATGTGCCAGTAACACTGTTGTCACTGTCCGTTGCTCTTTCCCATATATGATTAGTGTGTTTGAAATGATTTACTCTGAAAGTTTTGGAAGGTGCAAAGGCAAGGATGATGACAGCACCACACAAAAGGATCTGCTGTTCTGGAAAGAGTGTGACTTGACAGGCCTACTGAATCTGAGCCGATTTAGACAGACCACTCTACGTCAAGCACAATCTTCTCTCTCTCTTTTAGAGATTGAGTGTAGTCGCCTGTTTTGTTAAGACTTTGTGACTGAATAAAGTTTCCACTACAGACGTTTATAGCTGAGTTTCAGAGGGCCTCTGCTATAATAATGACAAATGCCTTGTTTTTTAAAATATGTAAAGCACACACATGTGGCTTTGGAACTGCTCATGTTTAGCAGTCTGAAGTTCCTCCAGCAGGGGGCGCTATTAGCATATAGCTTTTGTGTGCAACTTTTGAAGAAAAGAAACAGCCGTGAACCCCAACCAGGAGGATTTAGCAAACACATATGTTGGCAGTCACAACTTTTTTTTAGATGTTGAGTTATGCCGGCCTTACACCAAACGACTTTTCAAGCGTTTTCACTGTCGCAGACAAATTTCCAATGTCGGAAAAAAAAAAATCATGAGAGTCTTGCTAGAGATGGGTCGCACTCGCGTCATCTTGATCATTTAGTGTGTGGTGGTCAGGATGGTGGTCTTAGGTTAGTCCTTTTTTTGTCTTGATGCTATGACAAAAATATGTTTAATATTATCACAAGTTTTAAGTCTTGGCTCATGCAAATAGTGATGTGAGAGAGAGAGAGAGAGAGAGAGAGCGCGAGCACGTGTGAGGGCCTGAAATCTCTTTAAAAGAGAATCTTTTAACAAATCTGCTCAACTTCAAAACAATAATCATATTCACTTAAAATGTAAACTGTCTGTTTTAATATGTCAGGTTCACTGAGCCTGTAACAGTGATGCTTCCTGTTACAGTGGTTCCTTAGTTTGTTTTTTACGGTGTAGTTCATAACGCCCTATCAACAATGCTGAATCGCTGCATGTTTTGTTGATCCGTAAATCTTTGTCAAATTTAAAAAGTAACATTTTACGGGATAATTTAAAAAGTTCTGGGTGATCTGCCTGAATATACCGGTATACAGTGAACTTTTCTGAGCCCCAGATCTTTACTTGCTCAGCCAACATATTTTCCCATCTGTACCACTACAGAGTGGAAGGAAAACTGTTTATCTTTCCACTGGGTGCATGATGGGAAATGATCTCAAAAATCTAGTTGCAGTCTTGCAAATAGTGATGTCTGATTTTCCATTTCATTAAATCAGCTAAAGCTAAGCTAAAGAATGCATAGAAAGTAGGTCTAAGCTGGGTTTGTGGGGGCCCAGGCTATATAATTGATGTTGTTTTAGCCAAAAATTATGCTGATTATTTTTAGATATTGCCCAGGCCTAAGCAGCACATTAAAATTGTTTAAAATAAGTGTTAAAGTACTGTTCAAGTACTGATGATTTCCATGATGTCCTCAGAAAAGCATTATGTCATAATATGACATAATGTATCATGTTAGTGTTAAATGTCATTATACTGACCTCCGTTACATGAAAATATAATTGTTAGTTGAAGAAAAAGAAGAAAAACGAGAATGTAATTCTATTGTGTCTATTGAGAGAGAGACAGAAAGAGAAGGAAAAAAGCATAAAAAAGAAGGAAAATGATTATGCAGATATTGCAGATGTTATGCAATTGGTTATCTATTATTTACATCCCTGTGATTAACTGCTGCTTTGGTGTCTTGTCTTCTGTCTTTAGTATGGCGATTATGACCCAAATATCCACAAACCAGGCTTTCTGGCCCAGGAGGAGCTTTTACCAAAGAGGGTGAGTAAGATTTATTGTCTCTTGTGATTTTGATGCCTAATCTTCTTCTGATGGTCCTGCTATTCAAGTATAACATAATATGCAGTGATTGCTACGAGCACCATAGCATCTGCATTTGCTACTGGGTTGTTCTATAACAGCTCACCTGTAGCCTGGTGATGTAATTGATTTCCATTAAAAAAAAAAATCAAGCACAAACTTATTTAATGCATGCCAGGTTTCAAAACTCCAAACAGTTTTTAGTCAGCAGTATTTAAAGTTTGCCCTTTTTAGAATTTAAATGGACTCTTACATGTTGACTTTCACTGCTCACTGAATGCTAATATCGGACTGGACTGTGCTGACTTAACTGGGTACAAATGCAACACTAAGAATAATATTTCACCTTAAATCAACCGATTTCATGTTAATACATTCATGTAAAAGGTTAATTTATTGTAATTTATTGGTGGGTGAGCTTTTGCGTGCTTTCATCTTTGCAATTCAATCTCTTAT